AAGTTCTTAACGAAAAGTGCTGAATTTTCGGCCTAGCCTCGATCATCATTACTAAAGTCGATACAATAAAAAACATAGTCTTAACTATTCATTTCATGATTAAATCATGAATGAAAGTTAAGCAGCAAATCAGATCCCAATCCAGTAAATTTTGCAGGCTAGCTTGATTATGGTCTGGATAAGTTAATTAATGTCTAATTAATAATTTAGATGACATTTTAGGCCTAAAGAAAGACCTGCAATAGGCAGATTTAGCTCTTGCATAATGTATGTTTAAATAATGCATGTAAATTTAATACAGATCGGATGATAACTTTAGTCGACAGAGTGTTCACAGGGTTCTAAAAAGTGACACAAGGAATTAACTCTAGAAGAAATTATTGGAGATTGTTGAAAATAAATAGGCTTCTTTGTCTCACTAATGTAAACAACATATGGAAATTTCAAAACGATCAGATAATAAATGTAGTTTGTAAAGTGTTCATAAGTAATTGTGGATGACGCAGAGGGCAGACAGAGGCGACTGAAATATATGACCACATTTAAATGTGGTTAAAAGTCATGGGTATCACAAAATCAACTTTTATATCATCTAATGTGTAGTTGTGTTCTCTGAGGAAGAAAGTTGGATGTCTTAAATAGGACTTATTTAACTCAAATACAATATAATGGTTACACCTTTTGAAAATATATTTGCAAAGAACTATAACATAAGAATATAGTCCCAGAGTGTGATTTCATTAACCCATTGGCTGTTGTAGATTTGGCGGGATCCCGAGGCATACTGGTCCCTTGTGATTTATGATGCATGAAAATATTTGATGAGAATTGTTTTAAATGAAGAGTGTAATGTAGTATTATCTTAAAGCTCATCGTATTTAATTTATTTACTTTTTATTAATAAAGCACTATACAACATGATCCAGCCCTAGAAGTTTTACTAAATTACGAAATAATAAAGCTTGTGTTTAATTAAATTTACTCTTTATTACTATGGAACGTGATCCATCCCTAGAATATTTAATAAATTATGAAATTATAAAGTTTGTGTTTAATTATATTTACTCTTGATTGATATGACACATGACTTACCGGTCTTTTGTGATTTATAATACATAGTTGGGTACGAGACCTAAAGTGACCAATTTTCGGGGAAGTTTTGAAGGTGGTTTCTATATGACAAAAACCTGCTGAAACGATTAAGCTTGGGTGCCTCTCTCTAAAATGCTGGCGGAATCCACTAGAGGGCCAAATTCAAAATGGCTGCCAGATTTGGCAGGAAAATATAAAATTATTTAATATAGGCTTCTGAGGTGTCTATTCGTATGTTCTAAGGTTGTCTGAATCGAAATATTGTAATCAAAAATCCATCCAGCCACTAGTTGTGCCAATATGGCCGAACATTCCAAGATGGCCACCATTTTTTACCTGGAAAATAGTTTTGTCAATTATACTCCAAGTTGTATGTTTTCGGTGTCGAGGTATTCAATTATGATGATTTTGTGTCGATATATGACAACCAGTAATAAGAGTGCAACAAATTAAGGTACTCACCGATATTTACAATCTGATATACTCTGTAATCAGTTGATTTTAATTTAATCAACGCTTGATAATGGATCCACGTAATATTTAATCATGCACGATAATCGACATCATCTACTTATCCACTTAAAGTTAAAGTGTTACTCAGTAGAATCACAGTCACCCGATTCCAAAGATAGACCTAGTTCTAATTGTTCAGATTCAGATTGTTCCTCTTAAGTTGAAGTTTCATCAGAATCTTCATCACTTGCGCTATCGCTGCCATGAACAAGTAAATCACTGACACACACTGTCCAGATTGGAGCAGTTTCCAATCATTACCAATGGGAGAGTGTGTGATCTTAGACTTTGAGTAATTAGGAATTAAATATGCCCGAAAAGTAGCTATGGTGAGTTTAAGTTTGTAATAGAGGTGGTAGCCGGCGAAAGTTTTTTCGTATTATGCTTCACCATTTCTTGGATCTCGCTTCTGTCAGTGATATGCTTTGAAGGTGGTTTCTGTATAAAACAAACACTTGTAACCTGAAGCGATTAAGCATAGGTGTCTCTGTCCAAAATGCTTGCGGAATCTGATAGAGTGCTAAATTCAAAATAGAGGCCAAATTTAGTGCTAAAAATATAAAATATCTAATATAGGCTTATGAGGTGACTATCCCTATGTTTTAAGGGTCTCGGAATCGAAATATATCACAAATTCATCCGGTCACTAGTTTGGCCAATATGGCCGAAAAATACAAGATGGCCGCCATTTCTTGCTGGGATATTTTTTTCAACTGTGCTCAAGTTTCGTGTCAAATTGTATGTTTTCAGTGTCGAGGAATTCAATTTTAACTCATTTTCGTTGATTGGAGTGATAGTTACAAATTAAGAGCTACAGTGAGGGTGTTCCCATCAAATGACCGGCAGCTAAAGAACCGGTTTCATAGCTGATCCTAGATGATTAAACTTGCACCATATTGTTTCTATTTGCTTGGAATTCCCCGGGCGTCATTGCATTGACTGGGCTCCAAGCTGAAAGGCCCTGATATAGTCACCAGGCCTCTTTCTTGTTCCAGGGTTGTAGATAATGGCACAAGAATGAGGCTTGGTGAATATATCAGGGCCCTTTAGCGTGAGGCACTGTTGATGCAATGACGCCTGGGGAATTCCAAGCCAATAGAAACAATATGGTGCAAGTTTAATCAGGCTAAGAAGCAATTATGAAACCGTATTCTTTAGCTCTGGGTCACTCGACGGGAACAACCTCATTGTGGCTCTTAATTTGTAACTATCACTCCAATCAAAGAAAATGAGTCAAAATTGAATTCCTCGACACTGAAAACATACAATTTGACATCAAACTTGAGCATAGTTGAAAAGAAAATCCATGCAAGAAATGGCGGCCATCGTGGATTTTTCGGCCATATTGGCCAAACTTGTGACCAGATGAATTTTTGATATATTTCGATTCAAAGACCCTTAAAACATAGGAATAGCCACCTCAGAAGCCTATATTAAATATTTTATATTTTTAGCTCCAAATTTGGCCTCTATTTTAAATATGGCACTTTAGCAGATTCCGCAAGCATTTTAGACAGAGGCACTCAAGCTTAATAGCTTCAGAAGGTTTTTTTAATTCAGAAACCACCTTCAAAGCAGATCACTGACAGAAGCGAGAGCCAGGAAATGGTCAAGCATAAAACGAAAAAACCCTACGCCGGCTACCACCTGATAAGGAGTCTTGCAAAACTTAAACTCACCAGAGCTACTTTTCGGGCATATTTAACGCTTAATTACTCAAAGCCTAAGATCACACACTCTCCCATTGGTAATGATTGGAAACTGCTCGATTCTGGACAGCGCGTGTCAATTAGATATGAGAATAAAGCAGCATTACCAGGATGTTTAAGCGACTTACTTGTTCATGGCAGTGATAATGCAAGTGATGACGATTCCGACCTAACTTCAACTTCGGAGGAATAATCTGAATCAGAACTGGATCGATCTTTTAAATCGGGTGACTGTGATTCTGACGAGTAACACTTTGACTTTAAGTGGATAATTTGACGTTGATTATCATGCGTGATTAAATATTACATGGATCCATTATCAAGCGTTGATTAAATTAAAATCAATTGACTACGTATATCAGGTTGTAAATATCGGTGAGTACCTTCATTTCTTACACTCTTTTTGCTGGTTGTCATATATCGACACAAATTCATCGAAATTGAATAAATCGACCCCGAAAACATACAACTTTGGTATCGTATACATGAAGTTGACAAAACTATTTTCCAGATCAAAAATGGCGGCCATCTTGGATTGTTCGGACATATTGGCAAAACCAGTGGCCTGATGGATTTTTGATTATGATATTTCGTTTCAGAGACCCTTAAAACATACAAATAGAAACCTTTTATATTTTCCCCGAGAAATCTGACCGCCATTTTGAATTTGGCCCTCTAGCGGATTCCACCAGCATTTTAGAGAGAGGCATCCAAGCTTAATCGTTTCAACAGGATTTGTCATATAGAAACCACCTTTAAAACAACTTCCCCGAAAATTGGTCACAGATTTTAGGTCTCGCACCCAACTAACATGAAAATGTTTGATGCGAATTGTTTGTTTAAATGGAGAGTGTAATGTAGTATTAATTTTAAGCTCATCGTCTTTAATTTATCTATTTTAATTAATAAAGCACTATGCAACGTGATCCAGTCCTACAATTTTTACTAAATTATGAAATAAAAAAGTTTGTGTTAAATTATATTTACTCTTTATTACCATGAAAAAAGATGTTTTCTTAGGGAGGCAGGCTATGTTTTTATAGATAATAGCTTGCCTAACATTCATAACACATTGTATTAATTAACTTAATTGGTCAACCTTATAGAGTGAAATGGCTTCCGGCAGATTTGTCAAAATGCGAGAAATGAAGTAATGTGTAAATGCCCATCGTATATAATTTAAAATTTGGTTTTGATAGCAGCCAATGATTAATGGATCTACTTGCCACAATGTGTAAGTTATAGACGAAGATCAAATGATACTTTTAAGAAATTGTAAGTTGTTCATTGTTCGCATACATGTATAGCCCCACCGATATATAATGCTGGTGTACGTTTTCACAAGATTACTTAACAAATCATTGGGTTATTATTCAAACCAGCCTGTACATTATACATGTACACATTTTCACGGCAACATTTACTATATTACAAGGCTTCAAATTTATTGTAGACAATATTAGTTCGACCCCCGCTTCCTCGTCCAAGGTTAACATACCTTGTATTCAACTTCAATAAAGTACATTTTTCTTCAACATGCTAGAATCGGGACGATATCTCCACACAAGCAAATCGCCAAGATCCCCCCCCCCCACGAAACTAGAGTTTTTGCCCCGTGTTCGGCGATTCTAGTCCCAAACTCCAGCACTGTACTGTACGTGTATACAATGATATAGGCCTACATACCTTTGGATCCAATAACTATCAAAGCAGCATAAACATCAAAAAGATATATATGAGAAATTTATCATAATGCTCTTCAATTAGTAATGAAATTGGGAAGTAAACTATTTTATAAGCAAGTACAGGATGAAGGTCAACCCACCACTGCACATAAATAATTTTGACATTACTCTTTTGGTAATGGCTGAAGTCAAAGAAGGGCTGAATTAGGGTGTTAGTTTTCCACAGTTAAAGTAATTATTTTAATACATAAGGTGAGCGAATTGAATAAAGTGAAGGGTTAATACTCCAAATAAAGGTGTTTTAAAATGCTATTTTGATCTTTAATTGGGTTGATAGATAGTATTTATAATATCAACTCATTTTTATGAAAATCTCAATTTCGATCAAAATCAATATTTTCACTTGTTTTGTCTGTAGAATTTGCGCATTCCAACTCATTTTGCCACACAGGTCACATATATTAAAAATTTCATTCAAATAAAGCCAAGTTATCATTGGCTTATTTCTCACATCAATCAGAATGCCTATTATATACCAACTCTTCCAGATCCTAGTGTAAAATGAAATTTTTGAACTATAAAAAACGAAACAAAATAGTATCGGTGTTTTAATCAGATTGCGCTTCTTCATTTTTAAATTAAAACATTAAATGGCCGAAACATTCTAATCTACTTAAAATCTCAAGCATCCGATGGCATCAAGAGTTGATTTTTGTCTTGTCATGTTAATAAATGTCTAATTATTATCAAAATTAATCAGTCAGCTTTAAACTGGACACATGTACAAATTAGATGATTTTGGGTGATTTTAAACAATTTTTACGAATTTTTAAACAAAGATTTGATATTAAACGAATGTGAAAGAAATAAGTGCTAGATACATAAGATTAAACGATACCTGGGTTACAGTGTGAAGTAACGACATAAAAATTATGCCAAATCGATAACAAACCATGACCAAAAATGAGTGTAAAATTAAAAATTGGTCAATGCCTCTCTCTCGCTCATCTCTCACTCTCTAAATATATACCTGTTGAAGGGCCTCTAGAACAATCTGGCGATTAGTTTTCAAAGTTTTTAATTTGTTTTCATATAACTGTCTTTTATCTGGAACCACTGCCATAAGATTATACCTTATATCATTGTTTGGTTCCCTGAAACATAATTATTCCATACATTATGTGCACTCCTTTTTGTGGTCTTTATTTTCTGTTCACAAGCCATATCTTCATTCCATTGTAACTTCTTAGCATTATCAATTTAAAACAAAACATAGTAAAACCCACCTTCCCATTAACCATGCCTAGTCTAGCTTAGAACTTGGATGAATGGTCAGAAGGGCTATTGAACGAAAACATGTCCTGGTTTAAAACAAATCTATCATCAAATCTATCAGTGAAATGAAATTCGATCGCGTGTCTGTTATCGCTCGTTGCTTCAATCAGTTATATAGTAGGATAACTCGTGTTTGTCATGCTTGTCGTCACTTCCTGTTTCTTCACGTGCTTGTTACACATATCCCGTAGCAATGATCTCTGTGTTAAAGTTATATTTGGGATGTATTTAACCAGTTCTATCACATATTTTATAATGACTGACACCAATATTGTCCTTTAAATGAGTTCTCCACTCACACTCCAATTACTGATTGTTGTGTATGCAAAAGGGGACCTAAAGGTATTTAAGTAATGATTTTTGGCCATGTTATAAATTGCAAATGTTGATATATGTAAAGGTTGCTGCATCTGTTAAAATGATCAGCATTTATAAGACCTATATGATTTTAAAACAAATCATGCAATTTCAATTTTTTGTCACATATGAGACATACATGTACTATACATATGTAACTCAATATAACTTAGCCTTGACCATAGCGAACTGTTATAAAGCAAAATGTACAACTTACCCTCCTTTAGCCATACCAAGTCTGTCCGTTATAACACGTAGAAATTTTTCGGTCCACTCCTCTTCTTTCTCCCAAGGACCTAGCCAAATAAATTATCCAAATGTGTGAAATTCTTTAAATATAAAAAGATAGCTAGCCAGTAAATGAAACATACACCCACAACAAGGGGAGTCACATATTTTTTCTTTTGTTGATAATGAAAACATTTAACACATAAAAGTCTGAATACCGTCTGATTACCAGTAACAACCAATTAAGTAATTATCAGAAATAATTAGAATTTGTTTTGCTTCTAGTTCTGCCATATGCTAACGTTTAGTATACAAAGCATTTAATATCATGAATTTAGCTGTTTAAGTAATCAGAAATCGTTGAAAATCAATAGATTTTGTCATCTTGTGACCTTAAAAACTGTGTGTAAATTTCAAGTCAATCGGATATAAACTTTTGCTTCTAGGGCATCCACAAGATATTCCAAAGATAATCTTGGTCTTGAGACCATCCACAACATTTTTAAAAGTCATTAAGAGCTGTAACTCAAGCAATAGTTATCAGAAATTGTTAACCAGCGGCTGCCAGGCAGGATACGCCCACATTTTGCAAGAGATGGATAGAGAACAAGCTAAAAACAATCAGGATTTTTTGTACAATCAGGGGCAATAATCCACAAAGTTATGGTCTGAAATGCGCAAATATCAAAAGGGACTGAGATCTTCGGGATATAAATATATGTTTTAAGTTTCATCAGAATCAGATAAAAAATGTGACCTCTAGAGGGTCCACAACCTTCATATTGCATACTTTTACACAATTTGTGTACAAAGAGCGGCCATTTTGTCGAGCAGTTTCATTTCGATTTTCCTGAAATTCGAATTCAACCTTCATTATGGTGGAATGGTGAAATATTTAAACAGTTTTGAAAATCGGAAAAAAACTTGTGACCTCTAGAGAATCCGCAAGCTAAAAATGCGATTTTTCGTACAATCAGGAGCCATAATCCAGGCAGTTACGTTCAGATATACGCTATTATCAAAAGGAACCAAGATCTTGGTGAGTAATGGTGATATATTCACATGTTTTTTTTAAATCGGATAAAAACTGTGACCTCTACAACAAGCTAAAGTAAAAACATGATATTTCATACAATCAGGGGCCATAATTCAGGAAGCTACCATCCGATATCCCCGAATATCGAAAAGAACCAAGATCTTTGGGTTATAAACATGAATTTCAAGTTTCATTAAAATTAGATCAAAATTGTGACCTCTAGAGAGTCCACAACTTTGATATACCAGATGTTTACACTAATTGTGTATGAGGGGCGGCCATTTTGTCCGGCAGTTTTGGTCCGATTTTCACGAAATTCGAACTCAACCAAAATTACGGTGTAACAGTGATATGTTTGAACAATTTTTTTAAATCGGATAATAATTGTGACATTTAGAGGGACCTCAAGCTAAAACGTGATTTTTCGTACAATCGGGGGGGGGGGGGGGGGAGACATAATTCAGGAAGTTACTATTCGATATGAGCGAATATCGAAATGAACCAAGATCTACAGGTTATAGTTTTCATCAAAATCAGAAGAAAATTGTGACCTCTAGAGGGTCCACAACATTGATATACCATATTTTTACACTATTTGAATACGAGGGCCAGCTACTTTGTTAGTTTTAGTCCGATTTTTACGAAATTCAAACTCAACCATCCTTAGGGTATAACGGTGATATATTCAAACGTATTTTTAAATCAGATAAAAATTTTGACCGCTATAGGGTCCACAAGCTAAAAACGTGACTTTTCAACAATCAAGGCCCATAATTCAGGAAATTAGGGTCCGATATGCGCGAATATCGAAAGGAACCGAGATCTTTGGGTTATAAACTTACATTTCAAGTTTCATCAAAATCAGAAGAAAATTGTGATCTCTAGAGGGTCCACAACCTTGATATACCATATTTTTATGCTATTTGAGAACGATGCGCTGCAATTTTGTCAACCATCCTTAGGGTGTAACTGTGATATACTAAAACGTTTTTTTTAAATCGGATAAAAATTATGACCTCTATAGGTCCACAAGCTAAAACGCGATTTTTCATACAATCAGGGGCCATAATCCATGAAGTTACGATCCCATACATGCCAATATCGAAAGGAACCGAGATCTTAGGGAGATAAACCAATATTTCAAGTTTTGTTGAAATCTGATAAAAATTGTGACCTGTAGAATGTCCACAACGCAGAAAATTCTCATCTTCAAACTCCATCAAGGCATTCACCTAATAAACACCTACGCCAAGTGTGAACATTCTAACTCAATTAGAATGAGAGTTATTGTGTTCTCGACCAATCAAATTGCTTATCTCTGCTTACCGTAAGAAGAAAATGCTCATCTTCGAACTCCATCAAGGCATTGACCTACTTAACACCTACACCAAGTTTGAACATTTTAGCTTAATTAGAGTTATTGTGTCCCAAAAAGTGTGACCATTTGAACAGTCCCCGGCTTTCTTCGAAAGGCGGGGGACAATAAAACACAAATATAGTCTCTCTCTGAAGTTGGCAGCAGTGTTCAAAGTAAGCGGGAATTGTTGTCTTCTTTGCTTCATAGCGTTGAAAATAAAAATATATAGTTGAAGTCTTCGACAATGTAATATTTCTCTATGCAACTGGTATTCAATCCTAAAAAGTTTGGATTCAATTTAGCATTCCAGTGTGTAGCAATATTAGCTGCAATTTTCGTTTTATCATCTATAATACTGAAAGCAAGTCCAAGATGGTGGCGGACATGCTTGATGCTGGCTGGAGTTTTCATATTCTTCATAGAATTATTAGCCGTAAGTTACGTTGGGATAACGTTGGAATAATGTGAATGTGTGAATTTTCACCTAACCTATTACGTAAATTCCTGGAGATCCTTTTGTTAAAACAATTCATTTTTATTGGACAATTAGCGAATATAACACTCCTTTTGATTTGGATGGTCCAATCAGCATTAATTTCCATGCTAATAAGAGAGAGAAAGAAATGGGGTTTAAAGTCCATTTGACATAAACTAGGTCATTTCAGGACTAACACATGGTTCAATTCTATTTCAATAATAAGCTTGTGCGTAGTGGTCTTTAGCAGTGGGAGGAAACCGGTCGACCCAGAGAAAACACACGAGGTTGGACATGCTAATAAGAGGGTGCAAACTGATTCACTACCGGGTACAAGGGGTTACAAGAAATATAATGCCTGGGTTGTGATTTACGACGTATTGTGTAATTTATTTGTCAGTGTGGGAATTACCATTTTTAAATTCGATCAGGAGATGGAGGGTGGAAGCAGACGTCAATAAAGTTATAAAATAAACAAATAATTAGACATCTACATTAATTCCTTTGTGATTTACAGAAGATAAATTACCTGAGATGTGATTTATCGATTTTCAATGTATTGTGTAACTTATTTGTCAATATGGAATTTACTATTTTTAATAGATAATAATACTATGACAATGGTAAGACGAGCATCTATGTGTACACATTTTTTATAATGTTTTTACCTTTTTTATGCCTGCTTCATATTAATATCAACCTGTCCAACAACAACACAGTGCGTAATTAAACATATCGAATAAATGCCTTCCGGGAAATAGATAAACGCCGTAGATAAATAAACGTGATGTTGATTGATATCCCGCATCTCGGGAAAATACATTGTCAACTACATGATAGTAGCAAGTACACAATTTTATACAAACGATAATTTGAAAGTAAACCATATGTATAGTTTCTCACATTAGAAATGCACAAGTAAACGGTACACTGGATCCAGTGAAAGTACTCAGTCAGTTGCAAATGCGTTGAATTGTCATTTTAGCTGCCATTTTAAACAAGATGGCGGATATTGTCGATTTGGCTCCAAATACTAGTTTTTTTTTCATATTATTCAGCATTTCAGAAAACCTATAAAATTACATTAATGGGCACATAAATTGTCTATTATGGTGACCATTTGGTTTGCCATTTTGAAAAACATGGTGGCGTTGTTCATACTTAGCGCCCCTGAAACCCTATAAAATGGCATTAATGGGCACATAAATTGTCTATTTTGTTTGCCATTTTGTTTGCCATTTTGAAAAACAAAATAGCGTATATTGTCAGATCGACCTGACACAACCATTTTTGAGATAAGGAATGTGAAAATAACTCAATAGAAATAGTGGATTATGTTCAAACAAAGTTAATGAAAACATGCAAGCAATAACTGTAACTAAGCAAGGAAAAGAAAAACTATTTTCTATATCTCTTACCATGATCAATAGGGTACGGTTTTAATCCATCTAATTCAAATAGACTGCCATTGATAGGAACATAACTCACAAAATGAAAAGCTTCTCCTGTTTTTACTGTCGACAGTCCAGGTTGTTTCTCTGGTAAATGACGTGGTTCCGGTCTGTAAATAGATTATCAGCTAATTAATAATGAATTTTTTTACATGTTTTCTTAACTTCAGTGTGAAAAACGTTTTTGTTTTCGAAAGTTTTTATCATTACGTGTATCAAACCTTCTGTCAAAAGACGTATATTTTTTTCGATGTGATTTTTTTCTTTATGATTTTTTTCTTTATGATTTTTGTCAAAGTATGCAGCCAAAACTGCACTTTTTCTAGGCCTGATTGGAACTATATATAAAATATAAATTTGGTAATTTTTGATAAACGGAAATAGTTTTACAGAAAGGGAAAAAAAATTGCCCATATCTTGGTTATTTCTGAATGGAGCTTAGTCACTTATCCTCTTTGGATTCTTCAGACAAATCCCATAGAGGCTATGATTGACGTTGTTTTTTTTTAAATTCGGAAATTTCTGTTTTTCCCGAACATTAATATATCTCTCCATTATGAAAATAAGACTAAAAAGAACGTATGGCTGTATTGGCATCAAATCATATACCCACAGCAGCTAAGTCATCCGGGCAGTCAACAAGGGTTGTCACATATGTTTTCTTTTGTCGGTAATGAAACATTTACAATAAAATCTGATTAAGCGCAATAACATATGAAAGGGGTATTAGGTAAGATTAGATAAAAAGATGGTAGTTCTCTCTATAATAGTTAAAAAATAGATAATGAAAACAGAATATGCTGGAAATTTAAGTCAAATTGCTTCACTCTGATCCAAGATATTAGTGATTTAATATTAGGCTTGCCTTGATTATCATTTCTACCATTGGTATGATAATAAACAAAGTCTCGATTGTCCATTTTTACGTCAAATCATCCATCACAAATGCTTTTGTGATACCATTGGTAGGATAATAAACAAAGTCTCGATTGTCCATTTTTACGTCAAATCATCCATCACAAATGGTTTTGTAATACCCATGACTTTGTTTTTAACCACTCCTACTACTGGTGTCACTGTATCAATTTTATCATGACTTGGATCCCATCTAAGTTTATGTTATTCATATGGTTTTGCATTCCACTCTCTTTATATTTATTTGGATTCACATGAAAAATGTGGGCGTTTAAAAATACTGATGTCTACTGATAGGCCACTGATCTGCCAATGGGGTTGTCTGCTCGCGTATCGATTTTCAGGTGGAGCCACTGAATTATGGGTTACTCCAAGACGTCATTGAGTTACTCTTTCATAGCAGACGGCAAAATCATGGCGGAAAATAATTACGGTCGATTTAATGTTGGGAAATTAAAAGAGGAGTTAGCTAAACGAGGTGCAAGGACAACGGGCAGAAAAGAGGCACTTTTTGAGAGGTAAGTGTCATCGAGTAAACATTAGTCTATAGGCTTAATTAAGTCCTGTTCCCATTCCAGCGACTGCCTTATGTTCGTGCGCTTCACAAACCCGCCCCTCTCTCAAGTTTATAAATGAGCGGTTCAGACGTGAAAGTAAGTATTTCTTAAAAATCAAATTGAAATTTTTCATCATTCTATCAGGGATTCATATTTTGATACCGTATATTACTGGAAAATAACAATAGACTTTCAGTCGTGTGGAAAAGTTAACAGAACATGCATACAGCTGTGGCGCCTTCTTTTGAAACTAAACTTGATTACCCAATCAACAATCTCACTGGCACTAAGGTGCTAATTAATTGGTGAGATTAACTGTAGTTATTCTTACTAAAATACAAAACATAGATTACTAATATATGGACCATTCTCATTTGTTCTAGCATATATTACGAAAAGAATGCATTTCGTGAAATACATATTCTAGTTGGCGGGAAAAATATATAAACATTTTTTTATATTAAAAAAATGTTGGATCAAATTTTTACTATGATTTTGCTTGTTTACAAATATTGTAAATGTACCGTCAGGAAGATGAAAAAGAGAAGTCCATGTATATGATAACTTATATATCAACTTACCTTGCATGGCTGTTGTGAGCTCTGGCCAAAGCTGGCATATTTCCTATAGCTAATCCTTTATTCTTAAAAAAAAATGCCAAAAAAACCCCATTAAAAATTAGCTTACAATTAAACCAAAAGTTAATTATAGTGGCTGGTTTATTGTTTTATCAATGAGTCGGTCACATTCAACTCATTAATACTTGAATTTTACATGATAATATACAAATGTGAAGTAAGGGCTCTATTCACTAGCAATTTAACATCTTTCAAACATGTCAGATTAATCTACATTCTGATCAGTTGAGAATACTTTCCAGCATAAATCCCAATATAAATTATCATTAATGAATTCATTATCCACAAGAGCTCCACAAGATATTGGATTCGAAGAAAATTATAGAAATTTGACTTTGAATTTTTAATACCAGCGGCTGACAGGCAGGATACACCCACATTTTGCAAGAGATGGATAGAGAACAAGCTAAACAAAAAGCGATTTTTCGAACAATCAAGGGCCATAATTCACAAAGTTACAATCCGATATGCGCAAATATTGACAGGAACCAAGATCTTTGGGTTATAAAGATATATTTCAAGTTTTATCAAAATCGGATCAAAATTGTGACTTCTAGAGGATCCACAACCTTGATATACCCTATATTTACACTATTTGCATACAAGGGGTGGCCATTTTGTCCGGCAGTTTTGGTCCGATTTTCACAAAATTCAAACTCAACCAAGAATTTGGTGTAACGGTGATATATTCGAACGTTTTTTTTAAATCAGACAATAATTGTGACCTCTAGAGGAACCACAAGCTAAAAACGTGATTTTCAGTACAATCAGGGGCCATAATCCACAACCTTGATATACCATATTTTTACACAATTCGTGTACAAGCGGCGGCCATTTTGTCCGGCAGTTTTGGTCCGATTTTCACGAAATTCGAACACAACCTTCATTACGGTGTAACAGTGATATAATCAAATCGGATAATAATTGTGACCTTCAGAGGGACCACAAGCTAAAAAAGGCAATTTTCCGTAAAATCAGAGGCCATAATTCAGGAAGTTATGATCCGATATGCGCAAATATCGAAAGGAACCAAGATCTTTGGGTTATAAACATGCATTTCAGGTTTCATCAAAATTGGATTAACATTGTGACCTCTACCATATTTTGTCCGTCAGTTTTGGTCAGACTTTCATGAAATTCGAACTCAACCTTCATTACGGTGTAACGGTGATATAATCAAATCGGATAATAATTGTGACCTTCAGAGGGACCACAAGCTAAAAAAAAGGCGATTTGCCGTAAAATCAGGGGCCATAATTCAGGAAGTTATGATCCGATATTCCGATATACGCAAATATCAAAAGGAACCAAGATCTTTGGGTTATAAACATGCATTTCAAGTTTCATCAAAATCGGATTAGAATTGTCACCTCTACCAGGTTCACAACCTTGATATACCATTTTTTTTTACACTATTCGCGTACAAGTGGCGGTCATTTTGTCCGACAGTTTTGGTCCAATTTTCACAAAATTCGAACTCAACCTTCATTACGGTGTAACAGTGATATTATCAAACAGTTTTTAAAATCGGATAATAATTGTGACCTCCAAAGGGACCACAAGCTCAAAAAAGTGATTTTTCATACAATCAGGGGCCATAATTCCGATATGCACAAATATCGAAAGGAACCAAGATCATTGTGTTATAAACATTTCAAATTTCATCAAAATCCGTTCAAAATTGTGACCTCTATAGGGTCCACAAGCTAAAAACATGATTTTTCGTACAATCAGGTGCCATAATCCATGAAGTTTTGATCCGATACACGCCAATATCGAAAGCAACGGAGATCTTTTGGAGATAAACCTATATTTCAAGTTTCATCAAAATCGGATAAGAATTGTGACCTGTAGAGTGTCCACAAAAAATTGTGGACCAACGGACAGGGGCAACGACAATATACGTCCACATGAATACAGTATGTGGGTGTATAAAAAAAGATTAGTCTTGATCACGTTCACAAGTGGTGCATTTGATTACTGGCGCCGCGCTTACTCGCGTTACCGATGACGTCATTTAATCGCCTTACCAGCACCAGGCCAAAATATACCATAATCCAATTATTCAAAATGGCAGCAAATAAATTTTTTGATCGAAGTTATATTTGCAGATTAAGTTTAGGGGACAGAAGAATTATTGTTGACACTTTGCTCCGATTAAAAATACCTTATTTCCATTCCACAGTAGTGTTGTGTTTATTTTAGTGATTCTACATATTGGTACAACAATTCCAGGAGTTAGAAAAGGACACTCGGCATCCTTTAGTTGCCCAAGGGCTATAACTCTAGATGTAATTAACGAAAATTGCTGAAATTCAATAGGTGTCTGCGTTTCACTAATTTAAATGATGCATATAAATTTTATACAGATTGGATGCTAACGTTTGTCATTAGAGTATTCACAAGGTGCAACAAAGTGAAACAAGGGTCATAACTCCAGAAGAAATAAACGGAAATTATTGAAATTTAATAGGCTTCTTCATCTCACTAATTTTCAAAAACATATATCAATTTCAAAACAATCAGATGATAAATTTAGTCTGCAGAATGTTCACCGACTGCAATGTATGACCACATTTCCATGTGGCCGTATAAAAAGTAGGAAAAGAATTTTAGTTCATATTTTTTTCTAATTACGAACAATGTACAAGATTATTCTAAGAAGAAAAGGTACTAAATATAAATAGGTGTAGGTACGAAGAAAACAAAGACCATCGGTTTTATGGGTTAACAGTCCAGTTGACGAACCCAATGAACAATAATTGCAAATTTGTTAAAGAAACCTATCAGGAACTTAAATTATAGAGAATTTGGGATGAATGGTATACTGGGGTGACAACAATCAACATCCATACTGACAAATAAAAAGGACAAGGGCAATAATTCTGGCAGTAAAATTTAGGCTATAAGCTTCTTAGTCTAACAATGGCTATAAATTTCAAGTAGATATTTACTTTTAAATCGGACATATATATATACAAAAACATCAAAGACAATAACTCTGGAAGTCATTATCAGAAATCGGTTAGATTTTTAAGTTTTAGACAAAATTTATTTAAACTATATTACCTCCGGACTCATTTTATCTGAGAACTGTTTTAAAAGATTTAAATTTTCACCAAGTGAAACTTTATTACTGTTCAGCAGAACACTAAGCAGTGCATGAGTAGCACAAGAGTTGGGTATAATCTGAAAAAAAAATAAACAATATATGATTGTGGACAACATGATAAATGTGAACAAGTTTGAGTATAATGCAAGACAAAAACAAGATACATCACTATTAGAGAACAAATAAATCCTGTCTTAGTGTATTTACACACACAGGGTACGAGAAAAAAAAGAAAAGATATTCCATACAATCAGGGGCCATAATCCAGGAAGTTAGGGTGAGATATGCACAAGTAGCAAAAGAAACTCAGAGCTTTGGGATATAAACATTATATTTTAAGTTTCCATAAAGCCAGATAAAAATTGTGATCTCTAGAGAGGCCACAACCTTGGTATTACATACATTTACACTATTTGTGAATGGGGTGTGGCCAATTCGTCAAGCAGTTTCGGTCATATATTTAAACATGTTTTTAAATCTGAAAATATTTTGACCTCTAGATGGACCACAAGCCAGCCAACAGTTGCCAGGCGGGATACACCCACATTTTTCACGAGGGGCCATAATCTAGAAAGTTATGGTTTGAAATGTGCAAATATCGAAAGGGACTGAGATCTTTGGGATATAAAGATACATTTCAAGTTTCATCAAAATTGGATAAAAATTGTGACCCTAGAGGTTCCACAACCTTCGTATTACATACTTTTACACAATATGTGTACAAAGAGTGTCCATTTTGTTGGGCAGTTTCATTTCGATTTTCCCGAAATACGAATTCAACCTTCATTATGGCAGAATGGTGATGTATTTAAAGGGTTTTTAAAATCAGAAAAAAATTGTGACCTCAAGAGAATCTGCAAGCTAAAAATGCGATTTTTTTAACAATCAGGGGCCATAATCCAGGAAGTTAAGTTTGGGTATCCACGATTATCAAAAGGAACCAATATCTTAGTGTGTAATGGTGATATATTCCAACAATTTTTTAAATAGGATAAAAATTGTGACTTCTATGGAGTCCACAAGCTAAAAACATGATTTTCGGTACAATCAGGGGCCATAATTCAGGAAGTTATGGTCCGATATGCGCAAATATCGAAAGTAACCGAGATCTGTGGGTTATAATCAGATGAGAATTGTGACCTCCAGAGGGTCCACAACCCTGATACACAATATTTTGACACTATTTGCGAACGAGGGGCGTCCATTTTGTCAGTTTCGGTCCGATTTTTACGAAATTCGAACTCAACCATCCTTAGGGTGTAATAGTGATATATTGTAACGCTTTTTTAAATCGGATAAAATTGTGACCTCTATGTGGTCCACAAGCTAAAAACGCGATTTTCGTACAATCAGGGGCCATAATTCAGGAAGTTATGGTCCGATATGCCCAAATATCTAAAGGAACCGAGATCTGTGGGTTATAAACATGCATTTCAAGTTTCATCAAAATCAGATGAAAATTGTGACCTCCAGAGGGCCCACAACCCCGATACACAATATATCATATGTACCTATATATATGATATGATTGTACACACTAGAGGTCACAATTTTTAGCCCATTTTGATGAAACTGAACATGTGTGTTTATAACCCAAAGATCTCGATTCTTTGCATTATCGGGGCATATCGGACCTTCACTTAACTGTTCAAATATATCACCGTTACACCATAATGACAGTTGAGTTCGAATTTCGTGAATTGGTTTGTGCCTTTGATCCCGAGTCCTGTAACTTATATCAGAGTATATATTAAATTTCAAATCAAAATTTGGACAGCTAGTACCCTGCATATTAACCACAGTACTAAGAATATTATCAATATTTAAATCATTTTCGTGAGCACCTTTCCATCACAACTTTGACGCTTATTATCCCCTATATCAAGAACATCACAATTTTTAGGGCTATTATCTTCCATATCAAGTACATTACCAATTGTAATCAGTATCCAAATGCTTACCACATATTCTCATTATTAATATTTGTTTTCGACTGTGTTATAAACATATCGTCTCCATGTCAAATATTTTGGACTGTCTGTGTATACTTGCATTGTATGATTGGGGTGTTTTGTCATATGCATTCATGAGCATATGCATGTTGTTTTAAGAATATATCCATTATTTTGTGGCTTGTTCTTTTAGAAAACTATCCATTATTTGTTATTCTATGGTGCAATGTTTTAAGTTTGATAATAGTCTCAGACTGTCCATTATGTAAATGCCCCTCAGTTGTTCATGCTATTTACATAATGAAAGAGTGCCTGTTTTGCAGGCTAAATAAGTTAAAGTGGTTTGATTTTAATTGATATCTGAAGTTAAAATCTGGAGCTCTGTCCGTCCACAATTGCTTACAGGAAACAATGATTATCAAAGAACCGTAAGTGCAGCTAATGTTTTATCATTTTGCAGAGCCTTGTAATAACCACATGTTCAGGGCTCACACTGGCTTTCGATTTTTTTCCGCCAAAATGGGTGATAATTTTTATATAAAATAAAATGTTCATATTTTTTTACGCCAACTGGAATAGTTTATCTGCCATAAATGTGTGATAAAACAGACAACACCTAACAATTTTATGTTTTAGTTAGGCTTATTATAAAACAATTACCGATATATACAATACAATATACAACTTTAAAAATCTGTCTTTACATAATAGATTAGCAAAGTTTGGAGTTAATAAGATCAGATTTTGTTTTTGGTGACTTTAGTCTATTTGAACACTGTACTGCACAATATATTTTCAGTATTTACACGTCAAATCTCATCCAAGGATTGCCAATTTTCTATAAATTTATGTGTTGCGTGCACAATGGGCCTATTGTTATTTTCAGGTACCGTAAATTTATCAGAATCTGAATCCCTGATAGAATGGTAAAAATTTCAATTATATTTGTTAAGAGATGCTTACAATATACCCATTGTTCACTTTTAGAGCATTTTGGCGACGGTAATATGATACAAAGGACGAACTGTTTTCTCGCTCAAGAATCGTCATTATTCAACTCGTTCTTACATCTTCGACCAGTGGTGATACTATATTTTGAAAGGCATGCTTGTATTTTTCACATGACGTATATGAAGCATTGTAAGCGAATTCAGCAATCAAAATATTTAATTCTCTTCGCAAGGAACTGTCAGCCATTTTGATTATATGTATTATCATTTTTTTAAAATTGAAGCGAAACGTCAAATAATCACCGCTTGGATTAATCATTAGCAGTAAATTGTGACTTGACATAGGCTTTTATATATATATATATATATATATATATATATATCGCAAATTGCGACTTTGGCGACCGACGGTGTGAGCCCTGCATGTGTTTCATTACAGAAAATAAGTTAAAGGTGTTTATGCCACTTTTGCGCTTGGTAGAGGACAGAGAAGTTTATAAGAATAGAAGCATTTTGAAAATAATAATGATTTGGGGTTCATGTAGAAAAGTCTCTTCGATCGAAATACAATTATTTTTTTCTAAAATAAAACAAGTGCCTTGGATTTTTGAGTGGATTGATAACGGTTACAATTAATTAATATTCTCTTACCACAAGATACCCGTGTTGCGATCATTTCATTTTTACAGTAAGTACAAGCTTATGTTTGACTTGAAAGTGCTTTCGCATCCCGTTGCAAGTTCTAGTTATATCCTTGTCCTATTTGTAAGACCGATAACCAAAAATGATTTATAGTTTGCAATTTTAAAGTGTATCTTGTGTCATAATTCGAGAGCAATTCTTAACCATACAAAACATTTTGAACACAGCATGAATATCTAAACTGTGTATTCCGTCTTCATTAGCCCAGTCGGAGCAGAACAGTAGGATGTTAAACCCTGTTTCTAAACTGTGTAATATTGTGTCATATGATAGCGACTGCTACACCAAGTTATTTATCGTGGCATTATTGTGCCAATTTTCAATAAAAAATGACCCGATAATCGTGTTCCATCAAACCACCGCGATGTCCGTATTGTATGACAAATGGTCAATTGTCAATCAGCCATCACCATGGTTTCTGTTGATGGCCTTCCAGGACTCAGGTCATCGTCAAGGCTCTTTCTGCCAAGCTTAAATTCCGAAGCCAATTATTTACTCTGGAAAAGGAAAGGGCATCATCCCCTAAAGTGAAGACCATGTCGGCATGTATCTGTGTTGAGGCTAGTCCTTTCAGTTGCAGGTAATTGATAATTGCCCTATAGCCAGTTTTGTCCGTTTCTAGTGATTTCAATGGGTAGGTTTACAAGACGGTCTGGTATGAAGACAATAATAACGCTACAGTTGCAGTTCTTATGTCTATGATTCATTCGATGATTGTACACATACTTGTCAATGGCAAAAGTTTGTTTCAAGCCAACTGATCTATCCTTTTCAGGCTTACAACTTTTCAGCCAGCCATCGTACATTTTTCAAACCTCGTCCTCACCTTTGCCATCTTTTGGAGATATCTACATATATATAACTAACAATTTTAGCCATTTAAAATTGCGAGTTACTTATATTGATGAAATTTATTTAATACATATCTGATAAGAAATATTAACTCAAAATCTTACATTTTTAAAGACTGAAAGTTTCAAAATATAAATAATTGCATTAAGATATTGAAGATTTTTATCCTTTATTGTAATTACCTGTTGAGCAAAAAATATACTATTAACAGTGTCTTCTTCTCTAACGAAACATTCAACTTCAGTGCTTGTTTTTCTTCTACATCTTCGTTCTTCTATCCACCGAAACAGAAAAATGAACCCATAAACTGGTCTAAAAATACACAAAATAATAGACACAAAAAATATAATTTATAGAACTATACCTTCAAGGTTTGGAAATATTAACCTGGTTTTAAGCAAGGGGTTGCCATGCAAGGTACGCCCACATTTTGCAAGAGATAGACAGAGAACAAGCTAAAAAAAAAGGATACAATAACGGGCTATAATCCAGAATGTTACGGTCCGACATGCATCAATATAAAAAGGAACCAATATTTGGGATATAAACATACATTTTAAGTTTCATCAAAATGCGATAAAAATTGTGACTCGATTTTTCGTACAATCAGGGGCCATAATCCATGAAGTTATGGTCCGATAGATGCTGATATCAAAACTGACCAAGTTCTTTGGGAAATAAACCTATATTTCAAAAACTGTGATCTCTAGAGTGTCCACAAGTTTAAAACGTGATTTTTCGTACGGTCCGATACATGTCAATATCTAAAGGAACAGAGATCATTGGAATATATTTTAGGTTTCATAAAAATCGGATAAAATTGTGACCTCTAGGGGATCCACAAACTTGGTATTACATACTTTCACTGAAGATCGGGTACCGTTTACTTGTGTGTTTTTAACCCGAGAAACTATACATATGGTTTATTTTTAAATTATCATTTGATAGTAGTTAAACATTGTTTATAAAATCCAACCAGCGGTTGCCATGCCAGATACAACCACATTTTGCAAGAGATGGATAGAGAATAAGCTATACAAAAATAAAGCAATCTTTTGAACAATCCAGGAAGTTATAGTCTGAAATGTGCAATATTGAAAGGAACTGAGATCTTTGGAAAATATTTTAAGTTTCATCAAAATAGATCCACAACCATCGTATTACATACTTTTACACTACAGTAGAATCTGTATGAGCAGCCACTCCTATTCAGCGACATCTCCTTGTAAGCGGTCACAATAAATTCCCCCCCATAAAAAATCTGTTGTTTCATCTCTTTATTCAACGGTCACTCTTCTAAGGCGGCCAGCGGTCACTATTTTACTAATAAATTCAACAAAACATCGCCCATTCAACGGCCATTGTTGAATGATACCATCTTGTCGTTCTTTGTAACCCCCTCTCTAATTCCGTGAGTAGTAGTTAATTAATTGGACCCCAACTGATCATCAGGTAAAAAGAAATATAAAAAACAATCAAACCGGGATTATCTGTTAATTAATCTTTTGTTTTATTAAACGACTAGTCTGATCATTGTTTTCACGCGTAACGACACATTATTTGACACTGATTAAATAAAATTAAAGTACCGAGTTTTGTCACCATTATCTAGTATCTCTTTTCATTGCCACTTTGTTGTTAAACAGACGTTTTAGCGCCTCCTATAATATTACATACAGAGTTACACCCCCTGTAAATAGGTGATAAAATCAGCGATTGTTTTTGTGCTTTTTTGATAAAATAAAATTAATTTATCGATTTTCTTCACAAAAATGGATAAATATTATCGAATGCATCACAATGGTAGACAGTAGTATCAAAGGTTGGTACAAAATGACAAGTTTACAGAAGTTATGTCCGAGATAGTTTTGAGTAAAGAATTTTCGTTCGGCGCAAGATTCAGCGACAGTCAAATTTACCGATGCAAGTATTGATGTTCGCTTCCAATGCATCCAAGCGTAATATTTAATTTATGTCAGCACAAAAAGCAAAATTCCCTTGGGTGGCTGCTTAATGCAGATTCTACTGTATTTGAGTTCAAGGAACGTCCATTTTGTTCGGCAGTTTCGTTTCCATTTTCCTGAAATTCGAACTCATCCTTCAGTAAGGTGTTCTGGTGATATATTTAAACAATTTTTAAAATTGGATAAACATTGTGATCTCTAGAGGGTCCACAAGCTAAAATATGAGATTTTTCGTCCAATCAGGGGCCATAATCCAGAGAGAGAGAGAAATGGGGTTTAATGTCCACTCGACACAACTAGGTCATTTCGGGACTAACATATGGTTTAATTTTATTTCAATAATTTGCTTGCGCATAGGGGTCTTTAGCAGTGGGAGGAAATCGGAGGACCCGGAGAAAACCCACGAGGTTGGACAGGCGACCCTACACCTTGTCACATACAACCTGGGATTCGAAACCACGCCAGTCGACTCAATGACAGACTTTATGATACAGCGCGCGCACGCTAACCATTCAGCCATCCACCCCCCCCCCCATAATCCAGGAAGTTATGGTATATGTGCGAATATCTAGATCTTTGGGATATAAACATACATTTTAATTTTCATCAAAATCGGATAAAAATTGTGACCTCTAGAGGGTTCACAAGCTAAAATTGCGATTTTTTAATACAATCAGGGGCCATAATCCAGGACGTTACTGTCCGATCTTTGGGACATAAACACATGTTTTAAGTTTCATCATGATTGGATCAAAATTGTGACCTCTAGAGGGTTTTCAACCTTGATATTACATACTTCAACATTATTGGCAAACAGGAAGCGGCCATTTTGTCTGGAAGTTTCGGCCCCATTTTCACGAAATTCGAACTCAACCATTATTATGGTGTAATGGTGATGTACTCTAAGGTTCTATAAATCAGATAAAATTTGTGACCTTTAGAGGAACCACAGGCTAAAAATGCAATTTTTCGTACAATCAGGGGCCATAAGTCATAAAGTTATGATCCAATACATGCCAATATCGAAAGGAACCGAGATCTTTGGGATATAAACCTATATTTCAAGCTTCCTCAAAATCGGATTATAATTGTGACCTATAGAGTGTCCACATACAAATTGTAGACGGACAGACAGGGTCGACGACAGTATACATGTGGGTGTATAAAGATTGTGTACTTGCTACCCTACCCCTTGTCACGTACAACCAGGGAATTGAAACCATGCCAGTTGAGTCAATGACAGACCTTATGATACAACGTGCGCACACACTAACCATTTGGCCATCCCCCCCCCCCCCCCACACACACACACACAATACGATAGAATGAAAGTGTACCGCCACTAAAATGACAATATTTTTCAATATTCAGGTACCCCTGATCCTGAAGTGGAAAATAAGAGTGATAGAATATTGAATCTGTCTGATCAAAAGACACAGATTTGTTTCGAAGTTACAATGTAGTAGAACCATACCCATCAATTTTCTTCTGTAAATCATAGATCTCTTCTACTTGAACACCATTTACACCTGGGTACAATTAAAAAGCTCAAATATCATTTTTAAATACATTATAAAATATGTAACAAATGGAATATTAATAATGAATACATAATTTATCAAATAACCGCCTATTGTCCATACTTTCCAAAGAATTCAACTTAGGGATAAGTGAATTCAACTTTTCATCTAAATTGTAGAATAACTATGTGTTTGACTTGTACATGTACAACAGGGTTTGTGTTTCTAGACAAGTTAAACAACTATATTTACATGTACGTTACTATATGTGGACTATCATATATACATGTATGTTCATGTAACTTGTACTTACCAAAATCTTCTAATAACAATGTGAATAAACCTGAAATTAAAAAGTAGGTTATTCATATATATTTTTACACTATTTGCGTAGGAGGGGCGGCCATTTTGTCTGGCAGTTTTGGTCCAATTTTCTCGAAATTTGAACTCAAGCGTTATTGCGGTGTTACGGTGAATATTCAAACGTTTTTTTTTAAATCGGACAATAATTGTGACCTCTAGAGGGACAATAATTCAGGAAGTTACGATCCAATATAAGCCAATATCGAAAGGAACCAAGATCTTTTGGTTTCATCAAAATCAGATGAAAATTGTGTCCACAAGCTAAAAACGTGCTTTTTCGTACAATCAGGGGGCATAATCCATGAAGTTATGGTACGATACATGCCAATATCTTTCTGAGATAGACCTACATGTACATGTATATTTCAAGTTTCGTTAAAATCAGATAAAAATTGTGACCTGTAGAGTGTCCACAAATGAAATGGAGTTTAACATCATACCGCTCTGCTCCGAACTGGACTAATGAAGACGGGCATACACCATACAGTGTGCTACAATATAAGGGAAATTTTGCCCGGACAGCGGCACTGCGGCTTACCCTTATATCGAATTCTAACTGTCAAGGGATCTTTTATGTGCACGGCAATGAATACACGGGACCTTGGTTTTTCCTCCCATCAGAATAACTAGACAGCTGTCCTTGTCAGGCCCCCCCGTCCTGCATCACTGACAACTAGTACCAAGGGGGAATCACGTCGGAAAATCTGGATGTCCCTACCATTAAACGTGTACGGGTCAGTTCATCCCACAACCATTTCATCTTGGGCTGTTTCATCCCTACTTTTTTTTTAATGGGGCTTTTGAGTGTTTGGATGTTAGATGTTACCGTCTATTTTTTACCGTGATTCTTCTTTGTTCGATAAAAGGAATCATTTCTCGACACACCTGACACAAATTTATAATAATTCAACACTATTTTCAATTAAAAATTTCGATTCAAAAACACTAACAAATACACAATATTCAACATCTGGTAATGAAATGTTACCGTAAACAAAAATTCTTGCTGTACTTCAATTAACGGACTAAATTGTCAATTTTGATGCCACTAATAAGTGTTTGTGTTCAATATACATGTACATAAACAAATATTACATAAAATCGATTAATACATAATTGAAGTATAAGGTTTCCAAAATAGCCTTAGAACCGAGGTGGTCTAGACTAAAGCGTTATTTTCATATTACTTCACTTGTGTATACGGACAGGCAGACAATGAAGTAACTATCAGAATATCAAAGTGTAACATCAAACACAATGAAAATCATGTGGGTATGATGATAAAGCACCACTCAGTACACTAAATTATACTGACTATGAATAATATTTTCACTCCTTCACATTAAAGGTGCGCTTTCTCTATTGTGCCTCCGGACGTACCTTGACTTAACTTCGGGGGAGTCATTAAATACGCTCGCAAATTAGCTAAATCGCTCTCCTAAATATTGAGATTCATGAACTACCCTACTTTCAGTTTTTGGTTTTTTTTACTACTGCATATGTTTCAGTATAGTGACCTCCTCCAAGCAATGAGCGTTTCCATGGTAAAACTAGGGCTGCCATAATATTCACCAAACATATTCACTGCTAATGTAAGGCTCATTTTGATTGGATAAAATCAGCCAATAGAATACGATGTTACTTGACAGCCTAATATGTCGCCGGATGTTGATGGAGAATATCCACGGGAATGATAGAATGACACGTCATGACGCTGTTTTCCCATTGGCATTGTGTTGATTATCGCTATCAATACATCTGGAGAAGGTCAGAACTGTCAAGTATGCACATTTTTTAAATTGAAATTACTGGAGGGTAAATAATTTTTAAATTGGTGGGAGTTTTTTTTAACGGCTCCCGCAACATTTCGTTAACGTGCAAGGACTGTATTTTCCTACTGTTCTGCTTCTAAACTGGGCTAATGAAGACAGGCATACACCATACAGTGTGCTATGAGGGAAATTTCGCCCGGGCAGCGGCGCTACGGCCTACTCTTGTATCGAATTCCAACTGCCAAGGGATCTTTTACGTGCATGAAAATGTGTACACAGGACCTCGATTTTCCGTCCCATCCGAACGACTAGACAGCTGTCCTTGTCAAACTCCCTGTCCTGCATCCACTAGGGACCGGGTATCATTCAGATTTGATGAAAAAAGGAAAGAAACTGAGCTTACCATCTATAATCTAATACACATATTCAGTTAATAGATTGCCATGCAGAAAGTATTAAATACCATCAAGATTCATCAAAAACCGACCAGTTTGTGCTACCGTTTAGTTTGACATTGGTTGTCTAGTTTATGAAACTAAATGGTCATAAACTGGATGACCAATATCAAAACTAAACTAAATGGTCATAAACTAGATGACTGATGTCAAAACTAAATGGTGTTTCTTAAACTAAACGGAAGCACAAACTGGGCATTAGTGATTACTGACAAAGAGAAACCACGCCGGAAAATCTGGATGTTCCTAACATTAAACGGGTGCGGGTCAGTTCATCCCACAACCGTTTCATCTTGGGCTGTTTCATCCCTACCTATTTTTTTATAAACTGGATGACCAATATCAAAACTAAACTAAATGGTCATAAACTAGATGACTGATGTCAAAACTAAATGGTGTTTCTTAAACTAAACGGAAGCACAAACTGGGCATTAGTGATTACTGACAAAGAGAAACCACGCCGGAAAATCTGGATGTTCCTAACATTAAACGGGTGCGGGTCAGTTCATCCCACAACCGTTTCATCTTGGGCTGTTTCATCCCTACCTATTTTTTTATCGGACTGTTTCATCCCCCTTGTTATTATAATAGCAGTCAATTAACTGAGCTGTACTTATTGTTAAATAAACTGTTAAAAGCTTGCTACACGTATTGTTAAATAAACAATAACATATGGAATAAATAAGTTTTACTCTTTGATTTCTGTTGATTACCAATCATGACCGAGATTAGTTCACCGCTGTACATTCTTATTCTTTGTTAATTCAAATTGGCATTATGATTTCAGATTTTAGGTCAGTTCACCAATGTCTTTGTAGTAAAGTATATTTGTATTGTTAGTTAATTGCCATTATAATTTTAGATGAGTTCACCTAAATTGAATTGGCTACGATGATTTAGTAACAAATACTACAGTCTGCTAAAATATTAAGAAGAAAAACAAAACGTGCCACGATGCATTTCATGCAGTTGAGTTTCAATAACAGAATTACCTTATGATATAACCGTATACGGTCCATGATATAAGAGATCAATGAAAGTGTACGCCCATCTTCACATGTAGGCACCTTTTTGAGAATTTAGTGTGGTATAACATGTCATCCCGTAGGATTTGTATGCTATTAGCTAAAATTGATTTTTTTTGTTGTTTTGGGTTGGTCTTAGACCAAGCTATCCAAAAGTGTTGGGGTTCAAATTTTCCGACCCCTTGACCCCCCTGGGAGAGGCATTTTTGAAATCAGGACCCCTATGAATGAGGACATGGCTATCTCCGCCAATAATTGTTGGATTTTCATAATCTGAAGTTCATTCTTGTGTTTTTTCATCATGCCGACCCCATCTATGATACACTTAAAGCGATTGGAAGTAGTTTTTATTGACTTCCGGTGGGGAATACCAATTTCCGGTGTCAAATTCGGATTGATTTCAACCAATAACTTGCAGATTTTCATGATCTGAAGTTTATTCTGTGTTTTTTTTTCATCAGACCGACCCTATCTATGATACACTTAAAGCGAATGGAAGTAGTTTCCATTGACTTCCGGTGGGAAATGCCAATTTCCAGTGCCAAACTCGGATTGATTTCAGCCGATAATCTTTGGATTTTCATGATCTGAAGTTCATTCTGGGGTTTGTTCATCATGTTGACCCCATTCTAGGGTTCCAATTTTTTGACCCTTGACCCCTCAGGGAGGGTCCTTTTTGAAATCCGGACCCCCTCTGACCGAGTCCATGGCAATTTCTGCCAACTGTTATGTATCATATCTATTGTTTGACCTACTTATGTGCTATGTACAATATTTTATTAAATAATATTATTAAAAGGTATTATTTTAATATACAATTTACTATTCCATTTTTTATAGGATTTATTTTTAGGTATTTTGTGAGTTTAGGCGTAATTTGTTGTTTTGACCTATATAATTACCTTCCTTTCTTTTACCATACTTTTCCTGGAATTGATAGGAATGTATCAACTTCGCGCCAGTAGAGATAATCCCTTTGTTCTGTAAAGACTTATTACATGTTGTTTTCTTTATACCCATTATTTTAGGGTTTATACATATTATGTTATTATTACTCTTATTTTGTATATACATGTATTAGAAGAGTTTGTATATATTTGGAACCTTGTTGGGTAATAATTTAAGACCGATAAATCGATTATTCTGTTCTTGTCTGTTCGTTTGACTTTCCACACGTTGAGCACGTAACAGAATTGGTGGCTTGTATCCGGGATTGAACATAACATAGCTAACTAGTTCAATTCTTAATTTAATATTTACTTTTACTTAAATCACATTTATTTTTCAAAATGGTATTTAATGTTGAGGATTTCATTCAAAATCCAATTGTAGGATGACTTGTTAAAACTAGATCAGCACTTTATTTTAGACATAAGTGGCGATATGCGAAAACCTGAGATAAAGTCTGCCGTTCAACAGCATCTTATAAAGTAAGGTTATCTTCAGGTGGTGGAAGATACGTTAACTTTAGATACTGGTACAGATCTTTTAGAATTGAAAGAATTAGAACACCAACATAAAATTAGAGAAATGGAAAGAAAATTTGAAATGGAATTAAGGCTTAAAGAATTACATGTAGATATTCAGACGAAGACAAAAGAAATAGAATTAAGACAATTCTAACAAAGAAATAAACAAGATTCAAATAAATTCGATATGGCTAAATATGTTAGATTTGTTCCACCTTTTGATGAAAGAGAAGTGGATAAGTATTTCTTACACTTTGAAAAAATTGCCAAAGTTTAGATTGGCCAGTAGATTCATGGACCATATTATTACAAAGCCAGAGAGAGATATAGTTCATTATCAATTGAGCAAAGTTTGAAATATGAAGAAGTTAAAGGATCAATTCTAAATGTCTACGAGTTAGTTCCTGAGGCTTACAGGCAAAAATTTTGAAGTTGCAAAAAGTTGCTAAAGCGTATGCAATGGAAGAAGTTGGACACTTTTCATGTTCAAATTGTATTGATGTGATATAATAAAATGTTCGGAAAATAAGATAAAGCGTATGCAAAGATTAAAAATTCATGTACATGTAATACCTGTTTTTTAAATTTGTACGATGAAACGAATTGACCAATGTAAATTTGGGATGAAACGGCCCGAAATGAACTAGTCGTGGGATGAAACAGCTTGCTCCCACGTAAAACAATGGCGTGTGGACGACTCAACCAACATATTTCTATATCTCGAAATTAAACTAGGTACGCCAGTGAAGCGGAGAACCGCTGGCGTCATTTCGTTGTCGCGAGTCACGCTTCAGATACGACAGTGCAATTTGCATATCGGCTTTTCATCCTCGTCGTATTGTTGATTGGTATGAAACTGCAGCTTCAAATGAGGTTATTTTTGTAAATAAAAGGCTAGCTTTTCGCCTCGTTTTCGAATTTTTAATCTAGCTGCTTCATGTGCAGAGAAATCTAAACGTGAAAATGAAAGTAGAAAACAACACGATTTGTGGGACGGATACCTGAATAACATGGGGTTAATAATATATAGATTTGAAAATACATATATATTAAACTTTAATTCTGCGAGTTTTCAATGATATCGGTAGGTGCGGAGCCAAAATATGTAGTGTGGAAAATTTTTGATCCAGTTTCGCCATGACCGCCATGTAAGAAAGTTAGTGAAATTTTACCGCTAGCGACTGCACGCGATGGCCTCACTTTTCCTTCTTTGTTCTTCCGACAAAAAGGGCGTTAATTAGCGACAATCAATTTGGCATAACTCCATAATTATAGGGCCTCTCAAGCTCATTTTGGTGTCATTGTAAAGCTGCTGGACAGCCCTATCCAGAAATAACAGAATTAAAGCCATTCGGGATAGTTGAATTTTTTGTTGTCAATGTCATATGTGGTGTGGACAAGTCAACCAATGCCTTGTGGACAACTCAACCAAAGAGTTTTGATATTTGTGGACGACTTAACTAGACTTTTCGTGTATACGAGTTTGCTCGTGTTAGTACCTGGTTAACCTAGTACTAGTAGTGGTAGTCTGGTAGGCGTAGTAGGGTACGGCAGTACGGAACAAAAACTAATATAGCGCGGTGCTTGAGCAAAGCTCTTTTCCGGTAACACAGGAGCGTAATTGAAAATGTCACCCACAGACTGTTGATTAAAAAAAAATTCAGCCAGAACCGGATACACTGGGCAAAACAGGCAATGCGCATGTCAACTTACCAATTAAATCTCGCCCAAGCGATATCACGTAACTAACAAAAATAATTATATCCACCAAATCTCGCCCAAGCGAGATTACGCGCCTCATAGAACTATTTCTATGACGCGTCTAATCAATGACGTCACATATTTTTTACGTCAATGAAAATAATTCTCACACTTTTTTGTTCTTTTTTAAAAAACAAAATTAATGTATAAAATTTAGATCTCAATAAAAACTAAATTATTTAATATTTATTGTATCACTTGAGAAAATTAATTATGAATAAAGGTTTTATATTTAACAATAATCAGCTTCGCTCTACTCAGTGAGGCAATGCCTGTTACATATTAGAGTTACAGTATTGTCATTACATTGTTTTTTTTACAATGACTCAGACAAAGCACAAATCGCCTTGCAAAATGCTTGTTATTAGGATTACCTGGATCACTTTCCAACTCCAACCAGCCCTTACTCATGTTCATTTTAAGGTGGTAAATTTCACAATTTCACAATAGCTTAAATATATAACTTTGTTTTTAACACTTCCACTGAGAAAGCGGAAGAGACCATCTTTTGCGTTTCCAATTGTGGAGAGCAATCCGGGGATGTAACTCTTAATGTTTTTCAGGAATCAGACTGGTAATAATTTCATAAGGTTCTCGAAATGAAATGAAATGAAATGAAATGGGGTTTAACGTCCTACTGTTCTGCTCCTAACCTGGGCTAATGAAGACGGGCATACGCCATACAGTGTGCTATGAGGGAAATTTTGCCCGGGCAGCGGCACTATCGCCTACTCTTATATCGAATTCCAACTGCCAAGGGATCTTTTACGTGCATTCCAATGTATACACGGGACCTCGGTTTTTCGTCTCATCCGAAGGACTAGACAGCTGTCCTTGTCAGGCCCTCCGTCCTGCATCACTGACAAGGGGGAACCACGCCGGAAAATCTGGATGAACTTTCTCGGCCAATGCAGGGATCGAACACCCGACCTCCCATAAGGTTCTCGAACCATGGACCTTATAATAATGTATTATAAGGTCCATGGTCGAACTTGAACAATTTTTTATTTATTTTTGAAACACCCATAAGATTGTAGTCTTTTATATCCTCAAAGAGACCTGTATTCCATAATTATCTCTTTAAAATCTTTGGACACAGCTCACAAAAAGGGCCGGTGCTATTTTTAGTCGTTCTCTCCCTTTCCCCCTTTTGCATGGCGTTCTTTGTTGACGCTTTGGCGTAGAATTGAAGAAGAGGGTTTGTATATGCATTTTCTGCCAGGTTTTGTTGAATATTCATGATTTTGAGGCGGAAGGATATAAGAGTTAAGAGGGTGGTTAGGTTGAAATGTAGGGCGGAAAATTGCACGTTTAATTTTCTCTACTTCCAGTTTGCAGTGTATCTCAATTTTTCCATGGTGAACCTCATACTTGCTTTTGAGCAAGAGGCTGTCACATATGTTGCCCCATCTCAGATGATCTGTGGTAGAAAACGTACTCTACCCAACGAAAATTTGGGAAATTAAGTTTAAATTTAGAGTCGATCTAAGAGACGAGAGTTGACATTATAGTCAATGGGGAAATCATTGGTGATCTGTACCTATTTGAAGAAACGGAAGTGACGCAAAAAATGGAAAACAAGAGTTATTCTTCTATTATAGGCACAGATCACCAATTATTGCCCACTTGACTTCACCGTTATTTCACGCTCATGTCACAAGCTGTAGCCCTTTCTACAATATTCGTTGAGCTAGTTTAATTCCTTCACACGAGTAAACAATAAAACCTGGCAATCATCTTCTCCAAAGCATTATGAGGTTCACAATTGAAATCTCAAATCGGGAAAAGTTAAAGTAGACTGGGGTCAATTAATTATTTACTTCCGGTTGAATGTGAGACGTCTTTCAAGCCCCTTTACCCATGTTATTCTCCCGCACAAATATCCTCTTTTTCCACCAAAACTTGCTAAATAGTCAAAATTCAAAACCTTCCCAACAATTCCACATCTGAAAAAAAAACCTGAAAAGGGAGAGAAAAAATAAGAAGGGAAAACTATAAGGCTATTTTTAAATCAGGGGAACGTAGGAATTTATTGGTGACCTGTGTCCATATGGAGGCAGACCACCATTATACAATTCACCATAAATTTATTATTTTATTGGTGAACTGTGTCCATATTGAGGCAGACCACCATCTCGGTACCCACAAATTGTAGTTCGTCTGTTTATAGCAGTTAACTCTCTCTTTTTTCCCCGTTCACATGCCCATTTTTTGGTCAAGAATGGACGAATAGAGTTTGAATTAACATTTTGTGCCAGGTTTTGGTAAATATTCATGATTTAGAGGCGGAAAGATAACAAAGTTATGTACGGCTAATAGTTACATATAGAAAAAAAAACGCAAAGATCCCACAAACGCGCACAAGCAGCCATAAAAGCTTGCTAAAAGTCTGAAAGAAGAAAAACAGATCTCTGAAGCTCTGTATTACAAGCTCAGACTAAACCACCCTCGACCAACTTATACCAGGGCTACTATAAAAATCCACAAAAACCCATGATAGCCCGACTGTTATATAATGTGAGATTCAGTCTTCTACAACACCGCCAAATACTTATCAAACCTACTTTCCTCAGTTGGCACAGCAGCACTGTCCTTCATTAAATATCCAAACCCCGGGAAATGGTCTCATATGATGTTGAAGATTTGTTTTAAAATGTACCTAGTGATAAGGCTCTGAAGATTCTACGCAAGCGCAATGACAGCTTAGACAGTCCACTGGAGACCTCGGGAAAATGGTCTCATATATGTTGCAGATTTGTTTTAAAAATGTACCTTGGGAAGAGGCTCTAAAGATTCTACCCTTAATTTCAGAAGTATTTGTATCTGATTTGCAAGAGAGGGTGCTCCAGACATCCACTGTGATATATTTGTTATTATCAAACAACAAGATGTTCCAGAAATGCTGTTGCAACACAATAACAGCCAACACCCACGGATAAATTCACCATGGAAACCGAAAAAAAATAATCAAATACCTTTACTAGATGTCTGTGTATCCAAAACCAACAATTTAACCCGTACCGGTGTCTACAGAAAACGAACCCATACTGATCAATATATGCCCTTCAAATCCAATCACCCCCCATAGTGTTAAATCAGCCAAAATTTCAACTCTGGTTAATCATGCAAAAAAGACACGGGATCCCGAGAATCTGTCTAAGGAAATTGATCACCTCAAAGATGTCTGTCACAAACACTATCAATCTCCCTTTCTTTCAACAGCAAAATCTCCTACTAAATCAAAGGCTACTAATGAAACAGTTGGAAATATATGTAACTTTCACAAAAAGCAACAGCATCAAAGATATATTAAGAGCTAATGGTAACTAAATCCAACACAACCACTACAGCCAACAGAGTGCAATTGTGGGAATTCGTACATCGGGGGGGACCAAACGCACATTAAATAAAAGGATAGATAACAACAAGTCGAAAGCAGCAACCAACAACTCGGTTTAGCAGAGGCTGGGTCCTTTGCGAGCCAGATTGTCTTCAGGCTCATTTTCTACTATGCCGACATGATATGGTATCCTTGCAAATTCTACGGTTCTATTTTTGTTTTGGAGGGAATCAACATTTGTACGAATGTTGTGAACAATTCCTAGTCTTGTCATGTGTTATTGACTCTATACTGCTAAGGGAGTCTGACACGATGACTGCTTTTTGAACGGTGGATGACACAAGACACTCAAGAGCTATCGATAGTGCCTTTAATTCTGCTGTATAGGTGGAACGTCCATCTGGTAACCTGTTTGATATATTAACATTGAATCCGAGAATGCCGACACCTAACGCATTTTTGTTTTATATTTGGGTCGTGAGATCCATCTGTGTATTATTATATTCACAATATGCGATGACCATTTTTCGTTCAAGAGCTCCCTTGAGAGCGTTTAAGCTCGTTGCGGATGTTCTTTTTATCTACCAACATTATTTAGGTTTGTATGATAGTTTGGATTGAGTAAAGTCCAGGGAGCTTAGTGGTCTAATAGTGGTCTAATCCTAGATCTTTTAATAAATCGTTTGCTCTGTGACCGAACGGTTGAGTCTCGGATTTCACATTTCTTTTAAATTTCATCGTTGTTGATTGTGTGCACTTAAATATTGGACAGCTGTCTCCTAGATACTGTAACTTGGCCCAGTGACAATTCAGAAGCTGAAGGCATTCAACTTGTTTTTCCCGCCACTTGTGAAACTTAGCTAACATATTTTGAGTTATTCTCCAGCAACGAAATTGAACATCTTCATCTGCTTCCTCCGGTCATAATACTGATCGCGTACATCAGTCCTAGGTCAGGAGTATTTCTATCAATATATAAAAATGTCGTTGTGAGACCTCTCATCAAAAAACCTTACCTAGACCGTGGTGAGCTCAAGAATTACAAACCCGTCTCGAGCCTGTCATTTTTCTCTAAAATCAACAAAAAGGCCACAGACAAACGATTACAGTCCTTCGTTGTCTCTCATAATCAGTTTTTATCTACTTACAGGCCTAATCACAACACCGAGACAACAATCATCCGTGTGTTTAATGATCTGTTGTGCTCCGTCGATGATGGCAACTTGTATCCATGACCATGTTGGACTTTCCCGCCGCTTTCGACACGATGGATAACCATATTTTGCTTTGAAGTCTCTACCAGTGTTTTCACATATTCGACAGAAGATCATTGTCAACACAGCCGAATCGAAATATTTAAAGCTTGACTGTCTGGGACCCCGGTAGGGGCGGATTGGGCCATCGGGCCATCGCCGAAGGGCCGGTCGGACAAAAAATGAAAAAAATAATTTTGTCCAATTCGTCAAAATAACCTATTTCTGCTGAACATTATATGGGGTTGGGTGGTGGAGGGGGTATTGGACCGGCCATGGAGCTATGATGATCATGTTGTATGTGGCCGGTGGCTTTAACGGGCCGCCACGCCATCACTGGAGTCTGGAATGGGCTGGTATAATAGACTTTCTGGGCCGGGTGTGCTGGGTGTGGGCCGGAATTCGGAATTCTGCATTTTTAAATCTCTAACTGGTTAATCAAATGGTCAAAATTTTCTCAACTAGTCCCATTTTTTAACCAGTTAAATACTCTTGACTCTTGACGATACAATGATGAAACGTTACTTAATAACATGTCGATATGATTATTTCACAGGTTGATGGTTGTAAATTACTTGAAGGTCGGGGTTTGGGCCTAAATTAATCGATTTATAAGATATATTATTTGACAGAGATTATAATCAGATATGCCACCAAATCGCATATTTGAGGTTCATTTTTCAAAAGGGGGCCGCTCCGAAACGGGAGCCCGGGCCGGTTCCCGGCCCCAATCCGCCCCTGGACCCCGGGGATCCGTTATGGGATCAGCATTGCTCGTACTGTATACAAGATGGCTGGGGGATTTTATAGACCAGTTTGATATCAAGCACTAGTCGCATGCGGATGATACACAATTAATCGATGAGTTTGAATAAGATAGCATTTATGAATCTCTTGAGAAAACCGTTCGTTGCTCCGTGGGTGTTAAATCATGGATGAATAAAAAGTAAACGAAAAAAAAACCAGCAGCAATACTTGTTGCAACACCACAGCGTCTTGTGTCAACTCCCTATTCTCGTCTTGTTATTTGTGACCCCAGTATTGAGTTTGCATCATGGGTAAAAACAAATCTTGGCGTTATGATGGATTCATTGTAGTATTACTGGACTTCTTTGTTGTGTTATTCCTTGTATTATTAAAGCCGCTTGGCACCAACGTTTCTTGTATATTTTTGTTTTCCGTGTAGTGCGGTCCTTCTGCACTTACTATTAATAAAGTGTATATAGCTTTTGATGGCTGCTCTGGCAGACTGGGTGAGCTCTAATGAATTTCAGGGGGGTTGGATGGCTGAATGGTTAGCGTGCGCGCGCTGTATCATAAAGTCTGTCATTGAGTCGACTGGCGAGGTTTCGAATCCCCGGTTGTACGTGGCAAGGAGTAGGGTCGCCTGTCCAACCTCGTGGGTTTTCTCCGGGTCCTCCGGTTTCCTCCCACTGCTAAAGACCCCTACGCGCAAGCGAATTATGTAAATAAAATTAAACCATATGTTAGTCCCGAAATGACCTAGTTTGTGTCGTGTGGACGTTAAACCCCATTTCTCTCTCTCTCTCTCTCTCTCTCTAATGAATTTCGCTCAATAACCTTGTATAAGCCCTAATTGCTTTACGTCATATACTGACCTTGGTGTTAAATTTCTTCCCAAATATGGAATAAACATCCCCCATACCCCGAATACCGAGAGGAGAACATTACCTTATAGAATTTGATGTTTATTTTGACAATGCAATGGACATAACCAGTGATTTTACCAAACTATCACTGTTTTATATATAAACCGATCACTTATTCAATTTGAGTGGCTGAGATATGACTTCTCTACAATATTTATGTCGTGTCTGCAACTTCCATCTCCGTAGTATAGAAGCCACCCGTTATCTTTTCACTGCTAATGCCTACCATAGGTGGATCTCTAGTCTATTATATCGCCTGCAAATATTAATTCAGATTAACTCCGCCAGAGCCATTACAAGAACATCCAAACGTCGCCCCTAAATCTTTACATTGGCTACCAATAGAGACCTGGATCGAATATAGTGTTAGTCAGTATTTTGTTGACATTTCTTTCATTGTGGGGGTGGGATTGTGGATGCCCCCCCCCCCATTCACAGCTTCTAGATCCGCTACTGGTTATAAAGCTTTCCGTGTATACGGTCCGTGATTGTGGGATGACTTATCAAGTATTCAGAATCGATTCCTCAGTTTAGTTCTAGACTTGAAGATGCAATATGTAAGAGCTAAATCTGCCTATTGCGGGGTTTTTTTTTGTTGTTGTTGTTTTTTTTTGGGGGGGGGGGGCTTTAAATGATATATTAATTATTATTTAGACATGTATTAACATGACATGCCTATAATCAACTCTCTAAGTCATCGGATTTCCCAGATGTAAACAGATTAAAATACGATCGCTATTTAATGATTTAATTTAAAAATGGAGAAAAGATTAACATGTGACGTTGCTGCGATAATAATCAATCAGTGATAACGTCGGCCAAAATAATACATCCTTAATGGTTATTTAAAAATTAATTTTGTATAAAATGAATTCCTTTTATTATCTTGTTCACTCTTATATTACACCTTAGACCCTGGGTGATACGAATTTCAATTGATAATCAGTGTGGGTTTGATGTATCAGACAATGCGCGTACTGTCCTTGAATGCCTGTACCCAAACGCGAATATTATTTTCTCCTAAAATCCCAATGCACGATACACGTTGATACAGAAGTGCAATTTTCTGGGGGTTTACGGGGGTTTTGTTTCTAGAATGCATCAATAATATTGTTATAGACGACGTGTATTGATTTTTGTTTTCAGTTTCAGAAATACCACATTTTCTAGTCCAGGTAAACATATGAGAGGCTGAAGCTGTTGAGAGCCAATGAAGAGGTTAAACAATTTGTGTTATCTGGCAGACACTGTTATAAACTACAATACCTCAAACACCATGTCCTTTGTTATGTGCTAAAATACGCTATGAATAATTGATTTTAACAGATTCGCCTGACCTGACCTATAAAAATGCGTTCCTTTCAGAAATTCTTTCATATCTCTGCTTACTTAAACTTTTAATTTTATTTAACTAAATGTAGTGTCATCAATAAATCTTACCGATTTAAATAACAAAGAGCTATTGCAGACACGGTGCCCGTAAGTAAATTCAAGTTCACTTTTTAACAAACTCTGTTTCGGAAAAGCATTTTAATTAAAGAAAATCACAAGAGATATATAATGTCTGCAAGTAGCACGTGCTACAAACAAGAATTATAATAATGTATATCTAAAACCTTCGTATATTTGCATGTGCCTGGAATGCGGTGTATAAACTTAAAGAACAATTTCAGTCCACACGAATTATATACAACGGATTTTGATATATACAAGGTCCTCGATGTTCACAAGCTCGGAAAAAAATCTCTTAAACACCGTAGCCTATCTATCTATCGCGTTCACAATCTCCCTCAAACAAGGCTGAAGGAAGTGAGATTCTTGCGACATTGGAATAGGTATCTTGATATTAAAACATTTAGGTAGGGATTCGAATTAAAATTTGGATAGATAAGTTAGTTTAAGTATTTTAGTCCAAAAATAAGACTGTAGACTTTAACGTGTCCAAGAGGTTTTCCGAAAGGGGGGGGGGGTAACTCTGGAACGGAAGGTTGCGGATATGGTGTTCGTCCTTTCATGATGTTAATGCTTCACATTAACATTGAAAAAAAAATCCGTTCAAAATTGTAGCCTCTATCGCGTTCACAAGCCAATTTTTGGCGGACGCGATGTTCAATAGGGTGGTGACATTATTATACGCTCACACTAGAATGTAGAGGTATAAAAATTCCTTTAACAACCACATCCATCCCACGCCAACTAAACATAAAACGAAAGAATTTTTGTTGAATTTTATACACCAAAATTTTATTTCTGTTGGGTTTTGGCTTTGTTGTAGTTAAATTATTAGTAACGTACATTTTTAGTATATTTTCTGAATTTACAAACATTTGACAACCTTCCTCGTAAACTTTCATCTATACAAATGAATATGTTCAAGTTCTAATCGGGTTTGCTTGTTTGTTTTTTAAATTATATCTGTGCATGATTACATATACATACAGTGGCAGTGAGCCAAGATTTCGACAACTTTAAAGAAATGAAAAAACAAACTTCATAAATCCAGGTATTTGCCGGTTTCCGTCCTTTTAATCACTATGAATTCTGTAACATGTACATGCTAGGCGGTTTACAACGTGGTGGGCTACAGATTTTCACCTTTTTAAAAAAATCTATCTCATAGACAAACAATCAATATACTACACCAGTTTGTATTTAGCCTTGTCAAAAGACAATATTTATTTAAACGGTTGTCTACCAAATTCTGTGTTTGTTTCTTTGCTGAGCGAGAAATTTTCTGGCTGCTTGCCAAAGTATGGCTGAACCAACCGATATCAAGGACGGTTTTATACAAGAAAGTAATTACCATATATTACAAGACGTTTTCACACTGGGGAATAAATCAGACTAATAAGACATTGCTCAGTAATAGTTACAGTAAATGAAACATACGATGAATACCCGTCTGTTAACTTCTTGGTTAGTTCTCTTGATGGTTTGTATTGTCTACGTCAAATCAGAATGGAAGGATCCGGGAACACCTTTAAAATCACCATTTGCTCCACCAGAAGGAAAAAGAGTTCAAGTGGCCAAGAACTCCGGCAATCTCCACAGATCTGATACACGAAAGCATGGCCATTCCAAGGATAAACATATTCACCATGATCCACGTGGTGATAAAATACTATCTACAAGGAGAAAGGTTTCAGGTGAGTGGAACACTGTCTGTACATTGAATTTTAAATCACTCACTTCCATTGACACATATTTGTTCCCAAAGGGCGCACTTAGCGAACATCTAGCGTAAAGCGACAAAAAACATGTAATGGTAGCCCCCCCCCCCCCGACCCGGATCATTCGAAAGGCGGGTCCAACAATTACCCGGCATATCCTTGATATTAATGATGAACAATATGATCGCATATGGATGACTTTGTAGCAGATCGAGAAAAAGCTCCCCTCATTAGATAGATGTACGAGGAAGATGAAAATGATTATCTTTCGACTCAATTGGCAATACTTGCGTATGTGTATTATAAGAGTTGTCTTTCTTTATCTTATGAACATTGTTCGGTTCAAAATCTCACCTATATTTAATACCACATAAATTGTTATTGTTTGTCTAGTCGCAGTTCAGAAGTCTACATTACCTTGGTGGTTTTTTGACAGCAGTGAAATGTACATGAAACAATGGGAAAATTAATTTCTGGTAATTAATCAAGTAAGATGAGGGAGAAATTCATCTGTGGGATATTTCAAATTGTAATAGTATTTGCTCTAATTTTATTGTTACATTCAAAGCAATCCATTACTTTAATCATAAAATTCTAAATTGGGTAAAATTTAATTATGAGTATCGGTCTGTGGTCGCATGACTCACGATATGTTTCACAAAATTGTAGCAAATACTAGATATTTTCTTGCAGTGGTAATTATGCATGCGGCTGATTTCACAAAACCTATAAACCTAATGTTATGACAATTAGTGTCCTATACGTGGATAATCTGTAATGTTGGTTATAAGAACCACACAAAAAAACAAAAAACGCATTCTACTTAAAACTACACTGTATCATATTTTTATTTTTATTTTGATTTACGATTCTTTATGCCACATTGTCATATCCTACATGCTAAGTTAATGGATGTTAGTATGCAAATTCGTTCCTTGATATTTGTTAGTTTGTTTGGGGGGAATCTTTAATTACTGTAAAGTGGTAGGAAGGGCAAGTTCAACCCATGAATTCATGAGTAAATCTAACCAAAAGTGTAACACAACCGTGTGTTCATAGGCGTACGAGCCGTAGGGGGGGGGGGGCTACCCCCCTAACTTTCGGGCAATCTGACTTTTCGGGCAGACGGGTAAAGTGAAAAAAAAAGATTATTTCATCTAGTATTCTACTTGGCAAAATAAAGTGCCCGAAATCTAATAAAATACTAATTTTAATTGTCTTTTAATTGAATACTACGAATTTGTACTGAATTGACTATGGATTAAAACATTTTGTCTGGGGCCACTCTATTTTGTGCGACCTTTTTCGGGCATCGACTATTATTTGTGAATGCAGCTGCAACAGTGTGATTGGATGGTTGGTATTCAGGTCGGAATAGACTGGGATTTCGGTTGCAAATCCAGTAGAGAACTTTAGAGCTTCCTAACTCACGGGCTAGAGAAGCAGAAAAACGCATTTGCGGTATTTAAATTATCAAAATTTTCTCCGAGACGATTGATTGGTTGTTGGGGATTTAGGTCAGCCACCAAAGATAGGCTATATTGAACCACATTGAAGTTGCTGTATTCACAGACTGAAATAGCAGAAAACGCGTTTGCAGCAGTTAAATTTTCAAAATTCCCCCCCGACGGTCGCGTCTCTGTGGACTGTAAACGACTGATTGGTGATTGGAATTCGAGTCAGCCATCTTTATTAGGCTATATTAGACCACTTTGAAGTTAACACAGTTAACAATTTTATGGATACACAATTACTGAGTTTAATAAATGCCAATAAGTTGCTGTATTCAGAGGCTGGAATAGCAGGAAAACACGTTTGCGGCCGTCAAATTTTCCTAAATTTTCTTGACCGCCGCCGTCTTGATCCCGAAATGTTTTCGAGCATTTCGGATTCTGCCCCCCCCCCCCCCCCAACTGTCATCGTGTCATCGAGCCAGTACGCCTATGCGTGTGTTACAATATCTGCAAAACGACACGAAAAGAAATAGCAATTCCTTTGTCACAGGCGATTCTTCGCTTCACGCTCTGTTTTGAAATAGACTTCTTTATGTCTTCGCTAAGGAATATGACTCTGGGAAACACTTTCTTCTAAATGCGTTTCTATACGCCCACTTTTCATGTGGACGTATTATGTCGTCGCCCCTGTCCGTGCGTACGTCTGGACATCCGTCCGTTCACATTTTGTTTGTGGAAACCCAATCTGATTAAAACACAGATCCTATTTCGTTTTTTATAGTTCAAAATTTCGTTTTACTTGCCCTTACTACACAAGGATCTGAAAGAGTTGTTATATTACCGGCGTTCTGGTTGAAGTGAGGGATTAGCCAATGAAACTGTCTGTTACGGCGAGTTCTTGGCGTGCGTCGCACGGAACTGGGGGTAAACCACTAGAAACGTTGATTAATTAAACTATGTCTGACTTGATAGGGTCAAAAGCCGCTCGTACGACCCTTGACACGACCCTCCAGTACTACCCGTCCGATCTTCATGCAGTGTAGGCCATCGAAAGTATATAAAAAACGAAACGAAATATAGATCTGTATTTTAATTATCTAGTGAGAGTCAATTTTGTTTATGAATTGTCAGATATCCTTTCACAGTCCCATGCAACAACTTTTGGTCTTCGAAGGATTTATTAGTGAGCAGAAATTCGCCCATGTATCTGTTATCACCCGTCACTTCATTCAGTTATTCAAGGGATGACTCGTGTTTTACTTTTGCGTTCGTCACTTCCTATTGTTGAAACATTGGTTACTCATCTATCGTAGCAATGATCTCTGTGATAAAATAATATTTGGAACGTGTTTAACGAGTTCTATCACATATGTGATAATGACTGGCACCAATATTGTCCTTTAACAAATATCCTGCAATCCCACCCCACAGCGAATGTCAACAAAATAGATATAAGAGTAGGCCGTAGTGCCGCTGTCCGGGCAAAATTTCCCTCATAGCACACTGTATGGCGTATGCCCGTCTTCATTAGCCCAGGTTAGGAGCAGAACAGTAGGACGTTAAACTCCATTTCATTTCGTCAACAAAATACTGAATATAGCACTGAGCGCCTCGGTAGAACATAGATCGTATTACCTATATAGTTGTTCGCTGATTGTTATCTCGTCGGAAAGCAGTTTTATTCAAGTTGACATAAAGTCCATGTCAAATAATTGTTATTGATTTTGTTACCGTATTATACTTTTGTTAAGCCTTCTTAAAACCATTATGGTATATAGAGTTGTTTCCCTTCTTAATAAAAGGCCTTAGTCCCAGAAGATTCTGGGATTGGGTTAACTTCAAGATGGGTGCTTGTTTTGATGGACTTATAAATAGAACCAATCCAGGACAATCCTAGGATAAAACACCCCAACACAACCTGGCGGAGATCCCATAGGTCTCTCACTAGCTCAGAGTCTCCATTTAAAATAAAAACAGATTATGAAGTTTTAGTCCAAATTCTAAAAAGACCTGTCTGGAATTTTTCTGTCTACGGATTATGTTTTATGTGAAATTATGTTGATCTTTAACATTGTGTAGTCTGCACAGAAGGATGGGCTATCAGTCCACAAATTAAACTTCATTTGAAAACAATTTCCAACTTCAGTGTGTGAAAGTGAATAAATAAATATAAATAGGTAATGATTAGTTAAGCGTATCTTTTGCCCTCATAATTATGAAATATTTTTCGCACAAAAGTAAAGTGTTTTTGATATTACTTTAGCTTTCTATCGGGTCAAGCTTCCAAATAATTGGGAGCCGCGGTGGCTCGGTGAGTAAGTCAGGAGGACCCGGTTTGGCTCCCGATGTTGAAAGAGAGGGTCCTTCGGGTTTCTCCGGCGTGGTTTCCCTTTGTTAGTAATGCAGGACGGCAAGGAACAGTGTCTAGTCGTTCTAATGGAACGAAAAACAATGACGTGCACGAAAAAGAACCCATGGCAGTTGGAATTTGAAATAAAGAGTATGCCGTAGCGCTGCTGCCCGTGCAAAATCCCCTCACACTGAGCGCGGGGGTGGGGAGAATGGTTAGCACGTGTGCACTGTATCATAAGGTCTGTCATTTAGTCAACTGATATGGTTTCGATTCCCCGGTTATACGTGACAAGGAGTAGAGTCACCTGTCCAAACTCGTGGGTTTTCTCCGGGTCCTCCGGTTTCCTCCCACTGCTAAAGAACCCTACACGCAAACGGATTATTAAAATGACATGGTTTGTGTCGGGTGGACGTTACACCCCAATACCATTTGAAGTCATATGGAGCTTGTACACAGATCATGTGTAGTTTGTAAATGACACATGGGATTAATAATAATAATAATGATAATAATAATGATAATAATAATATCACTTTCACTAAATGCCTTTCAAAGACACGACACATGGGATTAATTACAAGTTTAATTAGATTATAGCCAGTTCGTGCCTTAACAGAATGAAGACGGGCATACGCCATACAGTGTGCTATGAGGGAAATTTTGCCCGGGCAGCGGCGCTACGGCCTAATGAAGACGGGCAGACGCCATACAGTGTGCTATGAGGGAAATTTTGCCCGGGCAGCGGCGCTACGGTCTACTCTTATATCGAATTCCAACTGCCAAGGGATCGTTTACGTGTACGCCAATGCGTACACAGGACCTCGGTTTTTCGTCCCATCCGAACGACTAGACAGCTGTCCTTGTCAGGCCCCCCATCCTGCATCACTGACAAGGGGAAACCACGCCGGAAAATCTGGGTGAACTTTCTCGGCCAATGCAGGGATCGAACACCCTACCTCCAGACTAGCGAGCCAGCGTCTTACCCACTTAGCCACGTGATCCCCCGAAAACAAACAACTATAATTTTCATTCTTTTAGAAACAATATGACTCACCTTCTAAAGCAAAAATAACACACAATTTCTGTTCCCCGTTGTTCCGCCGCCATCGATCTGAAATTCTTTTGCAGATTTTTCTTTTCATTTTTATCATTTTCATCCTTGAATTATGAGTTTCCATACTGTGTATCTCCAATCATTGGCCCATGATCATCGCGAAGGACTTCTTGCTGTGGTGACGATTAATTTCCAGGTTCAGTGTCACGGTATGCATAACTGATTCTGTAGGTATATTCATTGTTCTATAATAGAAACTGCGCCTGCCACCCGCGGTTTCACAGATAAACGTTTCAGTGCTACATTTTGTTTTGTTTTTTCACCAACTCAGCGGATGTCTAGCGGTGAAAACTCTTTTGTCTGCCACGCGGGATTTTCTTCATTATCACGGGAAAACACCCAGGGGTATCGTCGGTCGATGGCACCATAACAGAACCTGTACTGATTTCCCATGGAAACCGCCGGTCAATGCACCATAACAGACCACTGTAATAGTTTTAGTACATACAGGGTTTATTTACATCAGAACAGAATCTACATACAAAACAATACGGGAACTTAACCTATACAGGAACCTATCAGGACTTTACATAACTATATTAAATCTAAATAACTTCAATGATATCAAAAATGCTTTACTTGTGTGCGTAAAATATTTCATAATTTTGAGGGGAATAGATACGCTAAAATAAGCATTATTTATATTTATATTTATTTATTCACTTTCATGCATGACGTAATGAGTTCTTGCTATATATTATTGTTCTTTTAGAAAACAAATAGGCCAATCGATATGGCAGTGTTGAGGAAAATGCGCGACAAAATTGCTTATCTATTTGTCAAAAAAAAAAATATCTACAATAGTTTGCTTTTGTACGTAAAATATTTTATTATTTTTGACAGAACCAGCGGCTGCCAGGCTAGATACGCCCACATTTTTCAAGAGATGGATAGAGAACAAGCTAAAAACAAAAGCGATTTTTCGTAAAATCAGGGGCCATAATCCAGAAAGTTATGGTCTGAAATGCGCAAATATCTACAGGGACTACGATCTTTGGGATATAAAGATATATTTTAAGTTTCATCAAAATCGGAGAGTCCACAACTTTGCGTACAAAGAGCGACCATTTTGTTTGGCAGTTCGTTTCGATTTGATATGCATAAATATCAAAAGGAACTCCGATCTTTGGATTATAAATATACATTTTAAGTTTCATCAAAATCGGATACAAACTGTGACTTCTAGAGTGTCTATAATCTCGGTAATACATACTTTTACACGATTCGCGTACAAGAGCCATTTTGTCAAGCAGTTTCGTTCAGATTTTTACGAAATTGAACTCAATGTTCATTGATGTGTAACGGTGATTTACTTAAACGATTTTTAAAATTTAATACAAATTGTGACTTCTACTGGGTCCACTAGCTAAAAATGCGTTTTTCGAACAATCAGGAGCCATAATCCAGGAAGTTACGTTCGGATATGCACGGTTAACAAAAGGAACCAAGATCTTTGTGATATAAACATAAATTTAAAGTTTCATCAAAAATCGGATAAAGATTGTGGCCTCTAGAGGGTCCACAACCTTGATATACCATATTTTTACATTATTTGCGAACCGGCCGTTTTGGTCCGATTTCCACGGCGAGTGTAATCGTGATATATTTTTTTAAATGGGATAACAATTTTTACCTCTAGAGAGACCACAAGCTAAAAAGCGATTTTTCGTAGTCAAGGGCCATAATTCAGGAAGTTACGATCCCATCGAACGGACCAAGATCTTTGGGTTATAAACATGTATTTCAAGTTTCATCAAAACCGGCTCAAAATTATGACTTCAAGAGGATCCACAACCTTGATATACCATATTTGTTTTACACTATTTGCGTATAAGGGGCGGTCGTTTTGTCCATCTGTTTTGGTCCGACTTTCACGAAGTCGAACTCGAGCGTCATTACGGTAAAACGGTAATATTTGAACGTTTTTGTTAAATCGGATAATTGTGACCTCTAGAGCGACCACAAGCTAAACTAAAAACGCGATTTTTCGTACAATCAGGGGCCATAATCCAGAAAGTTAAAATCCGATATGCGCAAATATCGACAGGAATCAAGATCGTTGGGTTATAAATATGCAGTTCAAGTTTCATCAAAATCAGATGACAATTATTGTGTCGTCCAGAGTGTCCACAAGCTAAACAAGTAATGTTTCATACAATCAAGGGCCATAATCCACGAAGTTTCGATCCGATACATGCCAATATCGAAAGAAACCGATAAGAATTGTGACCAGTAGAGTTTCCATAAACAAATTGTTGACGGACATACGGACGGACAGAGGCGACGACAATATACATAAAAATAATCAAAGGCCATAACCCTTAAAGCAGATATCAGTGAAATGTGACAGGCGTAAATAAGCAATACCAACTTTAAAGATGCATTTCCACGAAAGTATTTACAAGGAGTTTTTTCCAATAAAAGTATATGGCGCATTTGGTATGAGAAGTGAAGACATCCAATATTACTAGAAAAATACTAGATTCCCTGAAAAACTCTCTTGGGGCGCCCACAAGACAAAAATGTAGGATGTCACTAAAAGCTTGTCTACTCGAGCGACGTAACGGCTGATCTAATGGCTTAAAGGTTATGTGAACATTAAAGCCCAATGGATGCTGCGATTAAACGGCAGAAAAAGAAGTTGACATCGGATAAGCCAAGAATTTACGTAGCCTTTGATATTATGGTAATTAATAGCGGCTAACGACAAATACAATCTGGAAAAACATTCTCACTCAATCAAGTCACTTGACGAACATGGCTACTTAAAATATACTATTTTGCAATTAAAATAGTTTTCTTGCGATTAAAATATTTTTAGAGGGATTTGAAGTAAATCTTTGGCATAAATTAGTGTAAATATGTTTTTAATCCGAATCTATCATCAAACCACACAGAATCGTTAATAAAAGATTCGATAGTAACCTAAATGGCAGTACTGTACAATCACATTTCGTAGAAGGATCCAACGATTTTGATAATATTTTTTACTCTTTTATATTTTTTAATATGTTTCAGGCCAGTGCGCTGGTAGGTCATACGTACCTCGAACCCATATATGTTGTAATGGAAAAATTATTCGCCGACAAGGTATGAGACCAGCTTGCTGTGGTGATGTAGTTTACGACTTTGTGTTTGATCTTTGTTGTGAAAAAAATGAAGTTAGACCAAGAACTGTTGGAAGACCATTTTGTTAAACACTGTTTTTAATACTTAAATCTCTATGAAACACATTCACTAACATTTAGAGAAACTCATTGTTCCAAACTACATTCCTTTTGACAATTTCCATGTTATCTATTTTAAAAATCAAGGAATTACACCATATTGTGTTTTATTGCTTTACGTGTCTTACATTTTGTAGTTATAGATAACAAATAAATTTTTATTCACATTTGTTTTGTTTACATTCCAGTAGTGGAGAATGCGCATAATAATATTCCATTTATCTTACATTTAACTAAACCGTTTAAATATGTGGCGAATGAATAATGTAGTTTATTGATATAAAACGAACATAATATATCACTGGTCCACTGATATTAGTCAGTTTCATAGGCGGCGAACGCCTCGGATATCCATTTCAGGGGGCATCCTATCAAAGAGCAAATTAATTTTAGGTTGTTTTTTTTAATTTGACATTATCACCGTATTGAAAATGTCTTCCTTGCTTACATTTTTGAGTACTAAGGTCTACGGTTGCTCACATTTATGAGTACTAAGGTCTACACATCTGTCTTGGGGGCTTACAATCAAGAATAAAAGACAAATATGGTGTTCAAGACTCAATCCAAATAACATGGCTTTATCTGAGATTCAAACAAAATGTTGTTTTCTATACTGCTTTCAAGAATACCATATAGAAAACTATATAGCACTGCACAACTGATTTGAGGATACAAGTTAATAATTCTCCAAAAAACTATAATATTTAACACAAACTTTATAGCCAGCACCATCAAATCTATTGGGAAAAAAATTATGTCCCAGCCCCTTATGAATTTGTGGATTGTGTACTAATGCAGTGCATATTAGCAATTAATAACAACTCTCGGTAATAATTATGAATTTAATCGGTAAAAAGAATTCGCAAATCAACGGTCATCGCAATTGTTGGTTACATATACATTGTCCATGAACTAATGGGGGTGTTTTGGACAGAAACAAGATGACGCTTTTAGGCTGGAGCCACAGAGTACATTAAAAATGTCACATTGTGTATCTACATGCCATCCTTCTCCTAATGCTACGCTAGCACATGTCGGATTAGCTTGCATGGGGTCCTTGACCGAAAGTGTCACTGAGGCCCTTGCTTCGACAGTGAAAAGTGGGCATGGCATATTCTGTTCATAATTTGTCCGTTGCACTCACACAAATACAGTTTGCATTTCAGTATGGTAGAAAGATAGATTTATTTGGCCCAATACAACATAGGTACAAACTTTTTTTAGAATTAAAAATTCCGTCCCTGCGTGTAGGCTTCCCGTGTCTGGGCAGCTTCTAGTCTGCGGCTTATCCTTTCTGTAAGCCTAGACGTCGGATCTAAACAAGGGAAAAGATTGCCACTCCCTTTATATAATGATGCTTTCAGTCATGGCAAATTCGTCTCAGCATTGTTTTGAGGTAGCCCAGAGCAGGAAAGATGAGGTCTGGCGCTGTCCATATGGTGAGATCGTGACAGTTTGTAGTTTTTGATCATCGGTAATTTTACATTCTTTAAAATATCGCAACGTGAGTAGTCTCCTGTATTTAACCAATATAACATCTACAGCCATATTTCATGATCAGCCGCTGGAATAGGTATATTCCCGCGCATACTAGAAAATTAATCTAGGATACAGCAATTTCCAAGAATTTGACTTAACCGATAACAGGATATGACGTTTACACTTTTAATAACCAAAATATAACAAAATTAACATATTTATATTTATAACCGTGTGTCAGTATCATTAACAGCCCAAAAGAAATACCCAAATAAGTCGATTCAAATGCAAACGAACCTTCACTGTCATCTGCACCTGGCAATATTATGCTATGTAATTTTCGTGTTTTAGGTGGGAATATGTCAACAATCAGGGGCGGATTGGGCAATCGGGCGATCGCCCGATGGGCCGGTCGGACAAAAAATGAAAAAAATAATTTTGTCCAATTCTGAACATTATATGGGGGGGGGGGGGGGGTATTGGACCGGCCATGGAGCGATGATGATCATGTTGTATGTGGCCGGTGGCTTTAACGGGCCGCCATGCCATCACTGGAGTCTGGAATTGGCTGGTATAATAGACTTTCTGGCCAGGGTGTGCTGAGTGTGAGCCGGAATTCGAAGTCCTGCTATGGGGATTCCGAATTTCATCCGAAAATTTCATCGGATTCATCCCGGAGGGAGCCTCCCGGACCCCCTGTCCGGGCTCCGCGGTCAGTGAAAGGGGCCGCTCCGACACGGGAGCCCGGACCGGTTCCCTGCCCCAATCCACCCCTGTCAACAATACAAAACTTTTGGAACATAAATCGAAAGTGGTCGATGATCATAAAATGATAGCTAGATATATAAGTTTCCCCTTACAATCTTGTCAGATTCACAAGGCTACATAGTATTTTTTCAAAGCACAGATTTTTTTATTCAGAGGCACATTCGTGCCTAGGCACGTCAAAATGGGCCCTGATTATCTCTGCGCTTTGGATAAATTTAAAGTGTTCCTATTATTAATTAGAACAGGTTTCGCTTTAGTTTTTATATTTTACGCTGACATTTATTGCTTTAAATCTTCCTAGTGCTAAAACGGAAAATATGACCTTTCGACCTCCGGGGTCACGAAGAACAAAGGTGAATTTAGCAAGTTTACATTTTTATTGGATGGGTAATTACTTTTGATCATTTTCAGCTTATTTTCATGATACAAGAATGGTCGCGCATTCACTTTCAGTGCAAATGAACTTTGACCCCGAATAACTCGAAAATACCCCAACGGTACGGCGGACTGATTACCACTTGGGAACGTACTCTATGCAATATTTTACTGTAGAGAAGTTGGGTTTGATTTTGTGCCCATTTGCTCAAGAAAATATATCATAGTTGCATTCACAATGAACCTTAAATTTGCATAGTTTTATACAGCAAAATATATAACACACATTGGTATTTTACATGACCAAAGGGAAACTTTACCAGATACATGGCGAAAATAAAGTATGACATATTTTCGTTCACTGTGTACATGTTTAGCTTTCATTGCCAATGGCTGGATAAATTTATGAAATGACCAGGGTTTAAAGATACGTGGTTATTTCCAATAAAAGTATGGCAATTTTGGTATATATGGAAAGCAGAAATATCCAATCTTACTAGAAAAATACTGGATTCCCTGAAAAACACTCATGGACCATATACATGACAAAAATGTACGGGTTCCCCTAATCGACAGCCCGATGATTAGTGGCGTTTTTGTGAGTCGATTAGATTAGGTTTTGATTTGCTAGTACAATTTGGTATGATTTCGATTTGATTAGCTATGGTCCACAAATGTGAAATTTGATAATTACGATTTGGTAAGATGGCTGCCATCACGGACACCGATCAGAAAAAAAAATTGTCTCTGCTAATTATTGATGACTTGTTAAAGACAAATGAAGGTTATCTACGCAAAAAAGGAAAAATGGTTGCCGTTAGAAACAATCTCCTATGTCCAACAAGTTCAAGTATTTTTTTGAAAACTGAAGTGACAAAACATGTAAAAAGTTTACTGAGAAAACCTAGGATCGAGAAATATATTGAAAAAACTGTAAATAATGAATAAAATTGCTTAGAGGTGATCTAACATTCTTGTGGACTATAAAGTTAACATTAAACACGTCAAATGTGTTTTAAAAAAAAACATTTTTTATGGAGAAAAACAACAATAAGCATTAAAAATTACTTACGACGTCGAACATTCCGCCATTTTGAAAAAGTCAAATCTAATCGCCTAAACATCTCCTGGGATGATTAGGTCGATTTGCCTAATCAGTTGAGTTAAATCGTCTCACAAATGTAACGATTAGCATAAACAACTTGGTTCACAAATGCGTATAATAGCTAATCGGTCTAATCTAATCGGTTCACAAAAACGCCTTAGGAATATCTGCACGCATGACGTAAAGATCGAGCGCTTGATGTGCATGTTGATAAACTTTATGGAGAGTTAGACGTACAACACCTTCTGAGATAAAAATCACGGAAAAAGACGCAGGCAGTGGATAATCCGAGAATTTAATTAGGATTCGATATTTGTAATAAATAGTCAGCGATTAAAGACAACATCGTCTTGTGTATGCAATGAATTCTCCTCCAACTTCGTACCCGTTGCTAAGTACCGAGAGAGGTAAGTCACATACAAACATGACCTCTTTTGACCGATTTTTTTTATAGCAGGGGTATTCCTTGCCAATAACAATGTTTTAAGAAGGATTTGAAGCAAAATTATGATAAATTAATTAGTTTGAATATGTTTTTAGTCCAAATATATCATCAAATCACCCAGTTTGTACGCGGGAATGTATCTTTAATCATTAAGATTAATAAAAGGTATTTTTTGAATAACGTTCATTTTGAATGTACATTAAATATTAAATATATGCAAACAGTCATGTCATTCCCCTTAAAACTAAGCTGAAATGAAATGAAATGGGGTTTAACGTTCTACTGTTCTGCTCCTATACTGGGCTAATGAAGACGGGCATAAGCCATACAGTATGCTATGAGGGAAATTTTGCCCGGGCAGTGGCACTATCGCCTACTCTTATATCGAATTCCAACTGCCAAGGGATCTTTTATGTGCTAAAACCAAGCTTATCACATTTGTAGCTCAAACTTTTAAAACTATAAAACTCTCAAAATTTTATTCAACATAGAAAACTTTTCAGAGAATATAGTACTGATATATTGTTTGTGTTGTTGTCTTTTAAATCCATTCAAGTGATTCTAATTGAAATGAAGACAATGGATTCATTCAAATCTGACAGGGTATCTTTAGAAGACTGGAAAGCTTGCAATTATAAAACTTTAAAAGAGTCACAATATAAAAATTGATATAAAGGCAGTGCAATTCTAGACATTTTTTCTGCAATATCACCGTGATGGATGATGATGTTAAATAAACCTATTTCTCACAAGTTTGAGACATACATTTACACATGTATATTTATAAGCTATAGAAGTAGGCACTTACTGCATATTCTTTATAAATTTCAACAAATATGATACAATTTAATACAGGCTGGATAGAAATCAAATCTGGATATATCTGATGACAGTACCCTAATTTACAATATAAAGGCATGCAGTTTTGTTTAATATAAAATAATAATCAAACAATATTTCTTGTGTGCCTTTACAAATAAATATTATTTAACTTAATTAAATCATATGGATTATTATTTTGTTACAAGTAAATTTCTAATTTAAAGATAGAATTAGATCTATCTTGAATCCCTTGTAAACTACAATATTTTGAAAGTTGAATCTCTGACAGGAATACCAGTTCAAAAAATATGATGAACTGAAAATGTCTCAAAATCCAGCATCCTCTGCAGATCCTATATAAAGGCCAGCAACTCATATAAGTGTTGGTTAAAACCTCTTGATTGGCCTCTTTTTAATCAGATTTAAGACAAGCTGATATTTTAATTTGAGTACAATTCAGTCCAGATTAAGTCATTAAAACTTAAATATTGTCTGAAAAAAGCAAATAATGATCAGCGGCTTTAACCATATCATCTTTTACAGTATGTGATGTGAGGGGACACACTGACCTATCAGTCATTATGGGAATTGGAAATTTTTGCCAAAAATCTGATTATTGTTCTTTCAATTTAAACATTTGTTCCGATTTATCATAAAGAATACAAAACATATTCATTTATTGTATTATACACACTGGAGACTTGGCATTAAAACAATAAAACATAATATCTAAACTAATAACATATATTTGCATATTATAAATCAATATTAGCACCGGCTATTTTAATAAAGCTAAACTCTCTACAATAATTTCTATAATAATATAATTAAATACGTAGTTTTATTACACAAATGATAAATAATTAAAGTACATAACAAGTACATAAATTAAACTGTTTTCTAAGGTGATGGTTAGGTCACTATATTTCTTATTATTAGTCATGTACATAAAACAATATAAAGCATAAGAATGTTATATGTATCAAAAATATATTAATATCTTGTGAGATCAGAATGGATGGAATGAATTTCCCCAAATTATAAAAAATTATAGGCTTTTGATAATAATGTAATACATTTTATTTTTGAAGAAAAAACAAACTTTGATTCAAAAATATGTAGAAATATACAAGCTATCATAAAAAAGACATTTATCAGAATTAAAGTAGCTAAGTCTCTAACTCAATATCACCAAAAGTCTTACACCTTGAAAACACGAATTATTTGTCAATTCAAATCAACATTGATGTTGTGATCTTACCGGGAAAAGGTAGGCTTCTGATATCCAATATTTAAGACAAAATAAACATTTTACCATTGGTACATGAATCGTGTACCATAGTGCGTTTCAGAGTCGTTTGTAACAAGTGACCAGAAAGAACGAGGCTAGACATGTGTCAAACTGTGACGCCATACATGTATCTTATCTGGAGAGCATGCGCAGTAGACTGGAATAACCAGACGCTAGAAATTGACATTCGGTTGAGACTCATGCGGTATTTCGCTGGACATAACTGATTTGAAATTAAGAGTCAAAACAGAAACAATTGAATGTAAATCAGCTTAGATACAATTAGATTATATTATTATGTGAGTCAATTTCTAAGTCCCAAATATTAGCGATTTAGCTCCTTTAAATAGGTCTTAAAGGAGTCTAAACAAAAAGATCTCAAGCTGGTGGTGTAAAAGTCAATTTATTATATTAAATGACTGAAACATGACTATTCTAGTTGGCAACAATTAATAACCCTAACTTCATGTTCCTTATATACTCATCAACAGTTAAGCCTAAAGGGACTATCCCGATTTGAACAGAGTCTGTGTACATATGAAATTTAAGCACCAAAATATAGAGGAATGGTGTATATTTAGCTTGTCTCGAAATGTCAAATCAAAATATTAAGTCGTTCGGACGTGAACGTCAAAACTGCTCATCCGGACACGTAACCCTTTTAAGATTTCAGGTCAATTTTTTCATTGGGCGACCTGATAATCGATTGCCATTCCTTTATACAATGCAGGGCCCATGTGCTGTACTTGATATAGAAAGGTAAATTTCACCTTCACCTTATTGTTATAAAATAAAAGTCTGGTTTTATCCAGACACAGAATAATACAGTTTGGGGCACCGGATAAAGACTGGTCGGTTTAAGTTGTTTGAAAACGTATCACATATATTGAGTTAGTTGCTCAGCCCTAAGATAGAGGATTTTAAGGGTTTTCAACACAAAATTAAGCAGTTTCATTCACCAAAATATAATTGGGATTTGCCCTTTAATTCAGACTAAATCAGGCAATATAAGCAACAAAACATTATATAATAATGAAAAGAACATTATCATAAAAAGCTATTTTAGTACATTGTACATACAACAACTAGTTAAATTTTAGAACCTGAATTGTATATTTAAACACACTTTGATCAAAAGATATTCTACTGATTTAAACTAATTATAATCATCACAGTACAATACATGTTATTAATATTATAATAATACATAATCATAAGCATTCAAATCACATCAATAAGCATTTAAAGACCAGTTCATTTTGAAAATAGTCTTTGTAAGAGTTACAGATAGCATATTGTCGTTATTTATACATAAGAACTTCACACACTTTGAATTTCAAATTGTTCTAGGTGTATTAGTGGCTTACAGCAGGACACAGGAATAAACCATCATTATGGTGTAGCGGTGATATATTCGAACGTTTTTTTTTAAATTGAATAAAAAGTTTTATCTCTAGAGCACTAGAGAGACCATAAGCTTAAAATGCAATTTTTTGTACAATCAGGGGCCATAATCCGATATGCGCGAATATCCAAAATCTTTGGGTTATAAACACACATTTCAAGTTTCATCAAAATCTGATGAAAATTGTGAAATTTAGAACGGAATTTAGAGCGTGGGCAGAGCGATTGATTAACTGAAGCCCACGATTTTTCATTTCCGCCCAGGTCCGACGTATTTAACCCTGACTTGTACTGTAAATCTTACATAATGCATCTTTAAGAACTTTGTTAATAAGTAGGCCTACAGATTATCACCCGATAATTTGTACAATGGAATGCATTTCTAATAAACATTATGGTAATTATAACTGTATTTAGATGAAATTCCTATTGGGAGTATCAAAACTAAAATTCAAAACACAAAACTTTCAATTAGAAGCTTAAAGGTTTAATAAATAAAGGGTTAATAAATGGAGGTTTAAAAAATGATCAAAAAGAGCAAATCATAGAAATTATAAAATCAATAAGCTGGAAAAATTGCAATTTTTTATCAATTGGAATTACTATAAATAAGTCTACAGACTTTTGCACAGTATAAATTACATTCATCATACATGCCCTTGATGTGCAGTAATGTGTTTCTATTATTAATAACTCTCTTCCATCAGGATTAATTACTTTTCTAATATCAGAAAACCAGATGAGGTCTGTGGCATGGATGTTGCGATTACATTTTGTACTTGACTAGTGTACTCCACAAAATGAGGTTATTCATCATTGTATTCAGGTGTGTTTCTCATGAATTTACTCAGTTTTTGCAGCTTTAGAAAGAGACTGCAATAATATTGATTGTTTCAAAATGTCTAGCTGCTCAACTGTTAGATTGTGTAAAGTAGATGATGTTTCTTCTGTGCTAACAGCAGATAAATCAGAAGATGAAAGCGATACAGAATGTTCTTGTTCTTTGATTTTCTTTCTCTCATTAACACAATCAGACCTAAAATTGGTAATCATAGCTAAGTATTAATTTAGTTAAAAGTTTAAAATAATCAATTGAAGTCTGAAATAAATGTCCTAATTGGACATTATTTTCTTAGGATTCTTCCCTATGCCTCTATGAGCAATCCTATCAAATTGGTCAAAAATTACAAATATGAAACAATCTCAGGCGACAATAATAATCAAGCAATATATAAGCTTACTTAAACATATTAGATATTCTGGCTCTCAACATGTCTGTAGACTTTCTATGTTTAGTAGTAATTTTAGCAGGAGAAAATACTGGTGTAGCTGGTAATAGACGTACATGTGGCATATCTGAAACAAGCCAACATTATGGCTGATGTCCCCCGTGAAAATCCCCAAATAAAAAGATGACACATATTAATTAATTGCACATTTATCTTTTTCAAAAGTATCGAGTAATCAAACTGATTATCTATGCTTAGTCTCAGCATAAAATGCCCATTATCAAAATCAGGTTTTGAAGTACCTGGTAGTGAGTGAAACTATACACTAAGTTTCATCACTATCCATCAGTTAAAATCCAAGTTATCTTGTGCCAAAGAAATTGCTTACCCTTGCTTAGCTTTAATGGGAAATATTAATGAATGAACTCAGTCAAGACATTCGCCTAATGAACATCTATAAAATTTTCATCACTCTCCATCAGTTAGAATCCAAGTTATCTTGTGCCAAAGAAATTGCTTAACTCTGCTTAGCTTTAATGGGAAATAGTAATTATTGAACTCAGTCAAGCCATTTGCCTAATGAACATCTATACCTCAATTAAAAGCAGAGTTGTTAGGTTCCAAAATCATGACAATCAAATTGCTTATCGCTACTTACCCTAAGTAGACCAGAGGCTGCCAGGCAGAATACGCCCACATTTTCCAAGAGATGGATAGAGAACAAATTAAATCAAAAGCGATTTTTCGTATAATCAGGGGACACAATCCAGATAGTTATGGTCTGAAGTCCGCAAATATGGGAAGGGACTGAGCTCTTTGGGACATAAACATACATTTTAAATTTCATCAAAATGGATAAAAATTGTGACCTCTAGAGGGTCCACATCCTTAGTATTACATAAATTTTTACAAAATTCGAACTCAACCTTCATTGATGTGTAATGGTGATATATTTAAACGTTTTTTAAAATTGAATACAAATTGTGACTTCTAGCGGGTCCACAAGCTAAAAACGCGGTTTTCAGTAAAATTAGGGGCCATAATTCAGGAAGTTACAATCCGATATGCATGAATATTGAAAGCAACCAAGATCTTTGGGTTATCGACATGCATTTCAAGTTTCATCAAAATTGGATTAAAATTGTAACCTCTACAGGGTCCACAACCTTGATATACTATATTTTTACACTATTCGCGTACATGCAGCAGCCATTTTGTATGGCAGTTTTGATCTGATATTCTCGACATTCGAACTCAACACTTATTACTGTGTAACAGTTATATAATCAAACCTTTTTTTAAATCGGAAAATAATTGTGACCTTCAGAGGAACCACAGGCTAAAAAAGGCAATTTTTCATACAAATAAGGGGCCATAATTAAGGAAGTTACGATCAGATATGCGCAAATATTGAAAGGAACCATGATCTTTGGGTTATAAAATGCATTTCAAGTTTCATCGAAATTGGATTCAAATTGTGACCTCTAAAGGGTTCACAACCTTGATTTACCATAATTTTACACTATTTGTGTACAAGCGGTGGCCATTTTGTCCGGCAGTTTTGGTCTGATTTTCACGAAATTCGAACTCAACATTAATTACAGTGTAATGGTAATATAATCAAACGGTTTTTAAAATCGGATAATAATTGTGACCTCCAGAGTGAACCTAAAGCTAAAAAAAGGCGATTTTTCGTACAATCAGGGGCCATAATTCGGGAAGTTACAATTCGATATGCGCAAATATCGACAGGAACCAAGATCTTTTGGTTATAAACCTGCATTTAATTGTGATTAAAATCGGTTCAAAATTGTGACCTCTATAAGGTCCACACGTTAAAATCATGATTTTGCGTACAATCAGGGGCTATAATCCATGAAGTTTCTATCCGATACATGCCAATATCGAAAGCAACCGAGATCTGTTGGAGTTAAACCTATATTTCAAAATCAGATAAGAATTGTGACCTGTAGAGTGTCCACATACAATTGTGGACGGACAGAGAGGGGCTACAACAATATATGCACACATGAAATTGTGGCCGTATAAAAATTCTCATCATTGAACTTAGTCAATGTATTGACATAATGAATCTATACTCATAGTTTCATCGCTCTCACCCAATTAGAATCAAACTTATCGTGTTTCAAAGTCTCCACCAATCAAATTGCTTATCTCTGCTTAGCCTTGGTGAGAAATGCGCATGAACGAAGTATAGACATCTACCCCAATTAGAATGAGAGTTATTGTGTTCCAAAGTCTCGACCAATCAGATTGAAAAGGTTCAGCATTGATGTAATAAAACTATACACAAAGTTTCACCACTATCACTTAATTAGAATCAAAGTTGTCAAGCTCTAACTGTCTAACTTACTAAGAACCAAAGTTATTGTGTCCAAAAGCACAGACAGACGTACAGATGGACAGAACCCATTTTAATAGTACCCTGCTTTCTTCTAAAGGCGGGGGACAATAAAACCTATCATTACTGTTATAACATTTTTAAAAATAAATTGATTCTTCAACTAAAATAAACAAAAATGATCCAGAATGAATTATTGCGATATCTTAATTTCGAAAAAGTACCGGGAAAAAAATATTGTCACTTTTATTTCTAACTGAACAAGCAGTTGCCATGCAAGATACACCCACATTTTGGAAGAGATGGACAGAGAACAATCAGGAGCCATAATCCAGTAAGTTACAGTTCGATATGCACTGACATCGAAAGGACCCAAGATCTTTAGGATATAAACACATGTTTTAAGTTTCATCAAAATTGGATCAAAATTTTGACCACTAGAGGGTCCACAACCGTGTCATTACATATAAAACTTTTACACTATTTGTGTCAGGGAGAAGTCATTTGTCGGACAGTTTCAGTCCAATTTTCAAGAATTTCAAACTCGACCAGTATTACAGTTTGATGGTGATAATATTTGAACGGTTTTTAAAATCAAATAAAGATAAGTTGCCAGACAACGAAACATACGCCAAAGCAGCTAAATCGTCCGGGCAGTCAACAAGAGATGTAGCATATTTTTACTTTCTTTCGGTAATGACAAATTTATAATGCACTAAAAATCTGATTAAGAGTAACAACTCATTAACTAATTATCAGAAAATCATTAGAATTTGTTTGGTTTTTATAAATTTCTGCCCCATGCCAACGTTCAGTATACAAAACATTTAATATCATGGATTTAGCTGTTCAAGTTATCAAAATTCATTAAAAATCAATATACTTGTTTGTCTGATCAAGACCTTAAACTCTGTGTATCATTCTGAAGTCAATCGGATGATAACTTTAGCCTCTAGAGCATCCACAAAATATTTTGAAATGATCAAGGGCCATAACTCTGGCAGTAATTATCGGATATTGCTGAAAATCAATAGGATTCTTCATCTCATGACCTTAAACTCTGTATCAATCTGAAGTCAATCGGGTGATAACTTTAGCATCTAGAGCATCCACAAGATCTTAACTTTGGTCTCTAGAGCGTCCACAAGATTTTTTAAAGTGGCAGTAATTATCGGAAATCGCTGAACAACAATAGGCTTCTTCGTTTCATGACCTCAAACACTATGTATAAATTTAAGTCAATCGGATATTAACTTTAGCCTCTAGAGCGTCCACAAGCAATTGTGGATGCCGAACCAACGGACGGACGGGGGCGACAACAATATATGGGCATATAAAAATTGTGACCCCTAGAGGGTCCACAAGCTAAAAACGTGAAATTTCGAACAATCAGGGGCTATAATCCAGGAAGATCCGATATCGAAAGGAACTGAGATCTGTTGGTTATAATCATACATTTTAAATTTCATCAAAATCGGATAAAAATTGTGACCTCTAATGTCCACAAGCTAAAAACATGATTTTTCGTACAATCAGGGGCTATAATCCATGAAGTTATGGTCCAATACATGCCAATATCGAAAGGAACCGAGATCTTTGCAATATAAACCTATCAAAATCAGATAAAATTTGTGATCTGTAGAGTGCCCACAAACAAAATGTGAATGGACATCCAGACACATGGACGGACAGGGGCGACGACCATATACGTCCACATGAAAATGTAGTGAATCCAAATAAATATAAAAAGAGAGGAATCCATAACCATTTGAATAACATAAACTTAGATGGGATCCAAGTCATAATAAACTTGATAGTCATACCAGTAGTAGAGTGGTTAAAAACAAAGTCAAGGGTATCACAAAACCATCTTTTGTAGCATCTAACATTTCATAGGTGTAAAAACTTACTTCCTCAGAGAACACTACTACACAACTAGTTGTATTATCTGAGGAAGTAAGTTTTTTTTATGGTTTTGTGATACCCATGACTTTGTTTTTAACCACATGAAATTGTAGGCATATAAAAATAATAGTTAATTGTAATCAATGTTAAAGGTTCAACTGATCCATTTTAGACATAAAACCATTTGTTAAGTGTCTGTAGTAATAATAAGAAAAAACTTAGTTCGTCTAGGGATATATATGTATGAAATATTAGTAAAGAAATATAGCCACCTCTTTCTTGAAAATCAGTAAGAGATGTTTCTTCTTTTAGTGGAGAAATCTGTTCATCTTTAAATGGAGACATACTGAGAAATTCTTGTTGCAGAATAAGATATTTTTCTTCCTCTAACTTCTGTCTCTATTAATAAACATAGATCGCATAATGAAATAAAAGAGGAGGTAAAGTATAGCATTATCATTTCTTGTATTAAGTCGATCCAATTAAAATCAGATAATATTTCTATTTCTCAAAATAGATTAATTGTTAAATCATTTTTTCAAGGTGTGAAACAAGTAAAATTGTGGAGAGATAAAGAAAACAGAAGATGAAGAATGACTCATGTACATCTTGTGTCGTTGGTACAGGAATTGGCAATCTGTGTGTTATTATTAGTCGTTATGTTCCAATAATCGGTTTCACCATCTGTAATTGGCCAAAAAGTGGCCTTTCGGTAACAACAATACTTGGCCATTTTGCCTATATTGGAGTCACCGATAAATACCTTTAAAATATCATTTGAGTTGTCAACAAATCATTCTCTCTTGTTTGGAACTCGACAGTTTTAGTCAAGTTGCTGTGCCCGTGACTATTTAGACATAATACAAGACTTGACTCTCAGATAGAGTCCGTAAAAAGCAAAAAAATAAAATCCATACCACCCTTCTATATTATTTCAATCCATATCCAAAGATGCCGATAAAAATTGAGTGACTTGTATAGTTTTCAACACTTTAATAACTCATAATCTAGATCATTTAGACATAATATAAGACTTGACTTTCAGATAGAGGCCGTAAAAAGGTAAACAAGCGGTTGCCATGCAAGATACGCCCACATTTTGCAAGATTTGGACAGAGAACGAGATAAAAAACTAACATGATTTTTTGTACAACCAGGGGCCATAATCCAGGGAGATATGGTTCAATATGCTCAGATATCGAAAGAAATCGAGATCTTTGGGTTATGAACATACATTTTCAAAATTGGATAAAAATTGTGACATCTAGAAGGTCCACAACCTTTGGATTACATACTTTTACACAATTTGCATACAAAGAGCGGCCATTTTGTTGGGCAGTTTCATTTCAATTTTCCCAAAATTCAAATTCAACCTTCATTATGGTGGAATGGTGATATATTTAAACGTTTTTTAAAATTGGAAAAAAAATTGTGACCTCTAGAGAATCCGCAAGCAAAAAAGGAGATTTTTCGAACAATCAGGAGCCATAATCCAGGAAGTTAAGTTCGGATATGCGCAATTATCAAAAGGAACCAAGATCTTCGTGTGTAACATTGATATATTCACACTTTTTTTTTAAATCGGATAAAAGTTGTGACCTCTAAATTTTGTACAATCAAGGGCCATAATTCAGGAAGTTACGATCCAATATGCGCAAATATCGACAGGAACCAAGGTCTGCGGGTTATAAACATGTATTTCAAGTTTCATCAAATTCGGATCAAACTTGATATACCAGATGTTTACACTATTTGCGTACGAGTGGCGGGCATTGTCTGACAGTTTTGGTCCGATTTTCACGAAATTCGATTTCTACCAACATTACAGTTTAACGGTGATATACTCAAACGTTTTTGTAAATCAGATGATAATTGTGACCTCTAGAGGGACCACATGCTAAAACACGATTTTTCGTACATTCAGTGACCATAATTCAGGAAGTTACAATCCGATATGCGCAAATATCGACAGCAACCAACAAGCTAAAAACGTGATTTTTCGTACAATCAAGGGCCATAATCCATGAAGTTTCAATCCGATTCATGCTAATATCGAAAGGAACCAAGATCTTTTGGAGATAAACCTATGTTTCAAGTTTCGTCAAAATCGGATAAAAATTGTGACCTGTAAAGTGTCCTAAAACTAATTGTGGACAGACAGGGGCGACGACAATATATGTCCACATGAAAATGTGGGCGTATAAAAAATTATATATATATATATATATCTATGCCTATTTATACTAGCCGCCAAAACCACCAGCAAATCAGTAATGTTTGAAATACGCAGAAAAGTGCTAATTACTAAGTTTGGCAAAGATATCCAGGAGTAAATCACATTCATGACAATCCGTGACAATACGTATTCATTTGGTTATGCAATAAAGAAATGATATTTTCAAATGCACGAAGATATTTCACTCTCAACATGGCTATTGCGCAAAATAACCCATAAAAATGACAAATGGCAAACAATGATAGCGGAGAAAATACACGTATCGTTCACGAGGATTTTGGCAATGAGGAGCCATAATCCAGGATGTAACGATCTGATATGCTTCAAATAAAAAAGGAACCGAGATCTTTGGGATATAAACAAATTCTAAAATCAAAATCTGATAAAAATTCAATCTGATTAAAATACAGATCTATATTTCATTTCGTTTTTTTTATACTTTCGATGGCCTACACTTATAGTGGGAGTTCAAGTCAGGCATTGATTAATCAATTAGCATTGACGTTTCTAGTGGTTTACCCACAGCTCCGTGCATGAAAGGCCTAGAACTCGCCGTAACAGACCGTTTCATTGGCTAATCCCTTACATCATACAGAACACGTCAATGATAACAACTCTTCCAGATCCTAGTGTAGTAAAGACAAGTAAAACGAAATTTTGATCTATAAAACAAAACTAAATAGGATCTGTGTTTTAACCAGATTGATAAAATGACCTCTAGAGGGTCCACAACCTTGGTATCACATGCTTTTACTATTTGCCCATCTTGTCGAACTCATCTAACATTGTGGTGTAACAGTGATATATTTGAATTTTTTTTAAATCAGATAATAATTGTGACCGCAGTGGGACCACAAGCTAAAAATGTGATTTTTTCATACAATCAGGGGCCATAATTCAGGAAATCGCGGTCTGATATGCGCGAATATCGAAAGGAACCAAGATCTTTGGGTTATAAACATGCATTTCATGTTTCATCAAAATCGGATGAAAATTGTGACCTCTATAGGGTCCACAAGCCATTTTTTCCAGCAGTTTTGGTATAGCCAATTAACAAGAAGAATACCGGTAGATATATTAGCTGACACACCTTGTAAAATGTAGATGTAAGTATATTACCTGTCTCTCAAGTTCAGCTGATGCAAGAGAATACTGGATGCGTTTTTCCTCTATTTCAGATTTTTCTCTATCTAAAAGTTTCTGTTGTCTTTCTATATTTTCTTGTTCTTTTGCTTTTACCTAGAAGTTAATGAATGGAGTTTTAAACTTTCATCAACAAATAATTCCTACATCTCCTTTGGTAACTTACTCTAGTTTCTGTAGTCAATCCGTATTTATACAACAAAATGGAAGAATAGTATGGAAAATACATAAATTGCAAGAAAAGTATATACTCCCAAAAATTATGGAGTCTACCACAAAGTTTTACGTACTCATCGCGCATTAATGTCACCCAACAACTAAATATCGACTTCCCTATTCAAATTGCTATAATTATTATGCTTAACTCTGTCGAGTTTAACAAATTATAAACATAAAACATTGGTGGTTGTTTGATTTCAGTATTAGAAAAATGCTATTTCAGACAACACAACCAACCCAGGGAGCAAGAAAAAGAAAAGAAGATCGTGCCAGAGCCCCACAGCTGTCCCGCACTATATCCGAAGTACCAAGGTCCCCACCCGTAATAGTAAAACTTTGTGATTGCAGGAACAAAAGAGAGTGAGAGAAATAGGATTTACCGTCCACTCGACACAAGCTAGATCATTTTGGGACTAACACATTGTTCAATTTTATTTCAATAATTCACTTGCATGTAGGGGTCTTCAGCAGTGGGAGGAAACCGGAGGACCCAGAGAAAACCTACGAGGTTGGACAGAGTACCTATAAATGATACAGCATGCACGTGCTAACTATTCAACCATCACCCCCCCCCCCTCCCCCCCGGAAAAGAAAAACAAGATATTGTTCCTCAAAATCAAGATATTTACCAAGAAATCAAGAATTAAAAACTTGACAAAGTATTATATGAAGAATTTATTACTCCTCTTGTTTATACTTCATTTTCTGACTATGAAGTTGACATTAAATACCCTGCGGATGTTGAAGTTAGAGAAAAAAGTGCTGATACCAACTCTACAGTTACAGAAACAAGCGATTGCCATGCAAGATACGCCCACATTTTTGCAAGAGATGGACAAAGAACAAGCTCAAAAAAAGAAGCGATTTTTCGTAAAATCAAGGGCCATAATTCAGGAAGTTACGATCAGATATGCGTTAATATTGACAGGAACCAAGATCTTTGGTTATAAACATGTTTTTCATATTTCATCAAAATCGATCAACATTGTGTCCTCCACCACATTGATATATCATATATTTACAATATTTGCATACGAGGGGCAGACATTTTGTCCAGCAGTTTTGGTCCGATTTGCACGAAATTCAAACTCAACCATCATTAGGGTGTAACGATCATATATTAAAACAGATAAAAATTGTGACCTCTAGAGGGACCACAAGCTAAAAACGTCTTTTTTTCGTAAAAATCAAGGGCTATAATTCAGGTACTTACAATCCGATATGCGCGAATATCTAAAGGAACCAAGATCTTTGGGTTATAAACATGAATTGAAAGTTTCATCAAAATCGGATCAAAATTGTGACCAGTAGAAGGACCACAAGCTAAAAACGTGATTCTGCGTACAATCAAGGGTCATAATTCAGGAAGTTACGATCCGATGTATGCAAATATCGAAAATAACCAAGATTTTTGGGTTATAATCATACATTTCAAATTTCATCAAAATCAGATGAAAATTGTGACCTCTAGATGGTCCACAACTTTCATATACCATAATCCATGAAGTTATGGTCTGATACACGCCAATATCGATAGGAACCAAGATCTTTGGTAGATAGACCTATATTTCAAGTTTTGTCAAAATCGGATAAAAATTGTGACCTGTAGAGTGTCCTCAAACTAATGTGAACAGACACACAGACGGACAGGGGCGACGTATACGTCCACATGAAAATGTGGGCGTATAAAAAAAGTTTCATTGTGTCTGCATACCATGTGTAGTAAATAATAAACCACGTTATCATTTGTTTACATGTCAATGATTGGATAATTAAAGACATGTGACCAGTACCTATGTCCAAATATGGTTTAAAGATCAAGCTTCCGCAGTAAAAACATCCACCAACTGTGAGCGCTAAATAAAAATAAATGAAATGAAATTTAACGTCCTACTGTTTTGCTCCAAACTGGGCTAATGAAGACGGGCATATGCCATACAGTGTGATGTGGGAAATTTTGCCCGGGATCTTTTTCATGCATGCCAATGTGTACACGGGAACTCGTTTTTTTGCCCCATCCGAACGACTAGCTAAATAAATTTACTGCGGGGTTAGAACCTCAGAACTATAGATATTTTTATTCAGAATACATATTTCTATTAGTCAAAACAAAGATCTTTTACATTTCCTGATCCTGGAGCAAAATGTTTTTTCTGATAAAATTATATGGTGTCAGCTACTGGCTTATATTTACTGGATTATCAAATTTAACATTTGTACTAATTACTTAGTTGGATCATGAACTGAATGACCATTAAAAGGTTAGCTTACAATTAGTTTGTTGACTAATCTTTGACTACTTTTATTTTCGTTAACCGACTTCAAGTGGATAAAAATGTCTCTACGCAATGGAATGGTAAATCACATTTAGGACAAGAAACTTGATTCACAGTTTTCTTCAATTTGATAACTTTCTGCTAATCCAATTAATATTTGATTTGCACTTACGTCATTTTTGTTAAGCAAACTGTGATGCGATACCGCTTATCATATTTCCAGGACCGACGGCAATATACGACCACACTTCCATGTGGGTGTATAAGTCAACTGACAGCAGATAGATTAATCTTTATGTAAATCTATTACGCACGAGTATTGTACACAAGATTAAATAAAACCGGGTTACAGTGTATAGTGACCAAGGGCGTGGATTTGTCATAACTTTTGAGGGGACGGACGAACCCTGGAACCTTTCATTACCAAACCAAAATAATAATTACGAACAGTTTACCAGTGCTATTTCGATGAAAGCTGTAACTAGGGGTAATATGATGACGATATAGTAAAATTGACTACCTACAATTAAGGAGGAAGATATCGTGAAGATGAATTACTGTGGCAGGGCCCAAGGCATTGGTTAGATAGCCTTCAGAACGGGACATTCATGTGGATATAAACCTGAAAATCTGTCCTGGCGATCAAAATCATGGGGGGGACAGAGACCTATTCGTCCCCCCTTCCGATTCTAAGGGGGGGACCCGTCCCCCCTAAATCCACACCCATGATAGTGACAGTATATAGTCTGGTATATATTTCTGCATTAGAGAACTTTAAAGGATTATTACTTACGGAAGTAGTAGAAATTATTAGTATTACCTGTAAATGTAGAAGTTCTTCTTGTTTTTGTATTATATCTTTATAAACTGTAACTTGATGTTGGAGACTAGTTACCTGTAGAAATTGATCAGGTCTAGTAGGTGACAAGGAATTGTTATTACTAGATACAATAGCATTGTTATCTGTTAACATTAACTGTTTGGAAGATGGAGGATTTACTTGAGCAATACCTGCAAAATATGAGGACAGTAAGGCCTTTACTATGGTCTACAAACCTTCTTATGCCTATTATCTACTGACCTTATCCAAAAGAAATAGAAGCCAGATTATACACATTTCTGTTCTCTGATAAATAAAATAAAGCCTATATTTTATAATGTAGCCTATTTCAGACTATTCAGATTAAAAATAGGCTGATTGGCAAAGAAACATACGTGGACGAAATATAGGTCAGATTGCCTTGAAATTTTTTTGGGTACTAACTAAGACAGTACCAATGCATACACCAAATATGAAGTTTGTCGATTGAACCGGAAGTGCAACCATCTTAAAACGTGAAAAAACAACATAAATAGTGATGGTCCGATATGGCACCTATCGGTTTTACCGATATCAGATACTGACAGCAACATATATTGGTCGATACAGATATAATTACCGATAGTGGTCAAGTGGTGGATATAAAACTATTACACAGTGAAATGTCTCGAATGGCATGATAATCTATGTAGATATATGTCACTGTTGGGGAAACGCATGGTTACTGTTTTACCTTGGGAATCAAACACGAACGCGGTGTTTTTGAAGTAATAAAATTGAGTCAGGCTTCCTACGCAATCACAAATACACTCCATCTATTATGAACTTAATTATTTGCTGTATCATTAATGAATAAAGTCGAGATTATAATATTTTATGTGTCGATTAGTATTACGACGTAATTCCCTTGAGTGATTGGCACCTGTATGTCTATAATAGATGTCGGAATGGTTCATGTGGTAATGAATGATACATCAAAGTGAAAAGCTTCATGACCTGTCTGTAAACAGTGGCAATCACGTGACATTCTCCTTATTTGTTGGTAATATTATTAATTAATAAAGTATGATCTATATTATAAGTTATTATAAGTCATTGAAAACAGTACTGACTGTGTTCTCCAATTCTATGATTTGATTATCATGCAATTGGCTAATTCACCATTTCAATCAAAAATTTTATCGGGTGGACTACTGTACATGGGCAGAAATGGTATTCTCAAAAATCGGATTGAGAGAACCAAACTCTCAAACAGTGTGTGAAAAAGGATTTAAAAAATAACGGAGACTGGTAAGGATTTTGTACTTTTATTTCGGTTGGCGTGCGCGTGGCTATTTATATAACGGAGAGGATTTTTTACTGTTTATTCTTTCCCTTTTTACAGCCCCTATGAGAGTCTTGTATTACCGGTACGTCTAAATAGCAACGCACAGGGCAACCGAAATATAACTTTTATTTTGGTTGCTGTGCGCGTGGCTATTTAGTTGCACCGCGTGTCAAGCAAAAAATTGACTTGTTCACAAATCGGATAATAATTTAAAGGTAATTAACAAGTCGTTTTGAACAGATATCGGCAACTCCAGTATCGCAAAATGGCCGTGTATCGGCCGATACCAATTTCTCCGATAGGCCACTTATCGGCCAATTACCGATGTTGAAACAGATTATCGGACTATCACTAAACATAAATTTTATGATATTTTACTTACAGACATGGGAATTACATTTTCTGAATCCTTGAAGGAATGCCTATAAAATGTATTGAGCCGAATTTTGATTTCAGTCAGCTGGTGGACGCCATATTGACTTGAAAGTTGAATATGAAAAATAGTGAAAAATTCACATTAACGGCTTGAAAGTAAGCACAATAGATTGTGGTTTGGAGAATTTGTCTCCTATTTCCGAAGTAAATACATTTCTGGATAGACTGGCTCATGATCAAATTTTTGGTATCTGAATATTTCAAAATTTCGAAAATCGCCTTTGACGTTTTTAGTGTCGACAAAGTTGTTTTCAAGTGAAAAATTCCCATTAACGGCTTGAAAATAATTGAAATAGGCTGCCGTTTCATGAATTCGTCTCCTATTTCCGAAATTAATACATTTCTGGTTAGCCTCCTAAGAATTGGTGGCGACTTTGGAATCAATATATTTTCAGAACGTTTTACTGATAAATAATTAACCTACATATTTTATTATTTGACCTATTTTACTAATTCTTTTTTCTTTAAGTACCTTGAAACATTTCTGATTTTCGAAATTCGAATATTATGTCATCGAACTTGACAACTTCTTTAATATTAGTACGATTTTCATGAAACTTGGCATGTTTGTAGTCTGGCCGGCATCAGGATAAAATTTTTGATGTTTGAAAATTTCAAAATTCTGCCGTTGACCTTTTTCTTGCCGACAAAGTTAATTATAAGACAATTTATTTTCAAAATTTAACCTAAATATTCCAACAGCTGAGGCCAATATGATTCCAAAAATATAAGTTTGATACAAAGTTATATCATTTCATTTTGCAATATTTTCCCGCCATTTTTAGGGTTTTTTCGCCATTTTCATCTCATTTTCTGATACGTCTCATTTTTGAATGGCTTGATCGATTTTTCTGAAACTTCTGGAACTGGAAATTAAATCTGATTACAGCAATACAAGTCTCCGTTATTTTTTTTAATTTTCAGATTATTTAATAGGCCGGGTGAAATGTTTCTCGTTATATTATAGCTTATAACTTTGCAAGTTTTTGACCAATTTTAATAATTATTTTTTCTTGATAAGATTCTTTCTAAAACCCATGACACATGACAGGAAGTGAATATGAAAGCAGACTATTGTTATTACCGGTACTAAGATTATTATTCTTTTTTACCAGTACCCCTTTTATCTCGGTCTGCTTTAGGTATTGATTATCAGTTATAATCTCCCTTTATTTTTCAAATTTTTAAAAATTTTCTGCCCATTTTAAAAACTTTTTTTTTCTAATAATGGTCCAATCGATGTTCTGCAACTTCTTGAATATGAAGTCATATGACCTCGCCTTTGAAAAAAGCTGTTCCGACAATGATTCGTAAACCGGAAGTACCGGTAACCGAAATAATGTCCAATATTTAAAAAAAAAAAAAAAAATGCAATAAAAGATTCTTTTGGGGAAAACGTGATTGCTCCGTCAGATACCACCGAATCAAACTCACTAAAGTAGCATTGGGTGGACTGGTGAATGGACTACCGTATGATACCCAATTGATACATATTTGATGATCAGCAAGTAAAATATAGCACGCCTAAAATCAAGTATTTTCCGATTTTGAGCCTTTTCTGATGCCTCTATCTCAAAAACCAGACCTACAATTTTTCTTAAATTTTGTCTTTCGAAAGTCCCTTTAAAAGCCATCCAATAAGACTTTGAAATAACTGGAATAGGACAAAAAGGAACTAAAAATCAAAAAAAGTAAAAAAATTGTTAAATTTTGGAAAATGCGCTATTATTTTTTTTACTTTTACAGTTTTCAAAAAAGGGTTATATGTTTAGATAACTGAAACAATTAAGATTCTAGCTATATATAACATGTATTGAGTTATTAAAATTTAATTTTCGACATTTCAACATTTTTCCATTTATGGCATGTACATTTGAACATATGATTTCTCAGGGGTATTTCATCTGATCAGATAATGTAATATATCATTATAGAGCCCTAACCCAACAATGACCTGTATACTGGGAGTAGTCCAAACAATGAAAAAAAGATAGGTTGCCAGGCAACGAAACATACGCCCAGAGCAGCTATATCGTCCGGGCAGTCAACAAGAGTTGTCGCATATTTTTACTTTTTTCGGTAATGAAACATTTATAACACATTAAAATCTGATTAAGAGTAACAACTCATTAAGTAATAATCAGAAAACCATTAGAAATTTGTTTGGTTTTTATAAAATTCTATCCCATGCTAATGTTTAGTATACAAAACTTTTAACATCATGGATTTAGCTGTTCAAGTCATAAAGATTCATTGAAAATCAATATACTTGTTCGTCTCAAGACCTTAAACTCTGTGTACCAATCTGAAGTCAATCGGATGATAACTTTAGTCTCTAGAGCGTCACAAGATTTTTCAAAGTGATCAAGGGCCATAACTCTGGCAGTAATTATCCGAAATTGTTGAAAATCAATATGATTCTTCATCTCATGACCTCAAACACTGTGTATAAATTTAAAGTCAATCGGATAATAATTTTAGCCTCTACAGCGTCCACAAGATTTTTCAAAGTGATCAAGGGTCATAACTCTGGCAGTAATTATCGGAAATCGCTGAAAATCAATAGGCTTCTTCGTCTCATGACCTTAAACACTGTGTATAAATTTAAAGTCAATCGGATATTAACTTTAGCCTCTAGAGCGTCCACAAAATTTTTCAAAGTGATCAAGGGCCATAACTCTGACAGTAACTATCGGAAATCGCTGAAAATCAATAGGCTTCTTCGTCTCATGACCTTAAACACTGTGTATAAATTTAAAGTCAATCAGATATTAACTTTAGCCTCTAGAGCGTCCACAAGATTTTTCAAAGTGATCAAGGGCCATAACTCTCGCAGTAATTATCGGAAATCGCTGAAAATCAATAGGCTTCTTTGTCTCATGATTTTAAACACTGTGCATAAATTTAAAGACAATCGGATATTAACTTTAGCCTCTAGAGCGTCCACAAGATTTTTCAAAGTGATCAAGGGCCATAACTCTGGCAGTAATTATCGGAAATCGCTGAAAATCAATAGGCTTCTTTGTCTCATGACCTTAAACACTGTGCATAAATTTACAGTCAATCGGATATTAACTTTAGCCTCTTGAAGCGTCCACAAGATTTTTCAAAGTGATCAAGGGCTATAACTCTGGCAGTATTTATTGGAAATCACTGAAAATCAATAGGATTCTTCATCTCATGACCTTAAACACTGTGTATAAATTTGAAGTCAATCGGATATTAACTTTGACCTCTAGAGCGTCCACAAGATTTTTTGAAGTGATCAAGGCCCATAACTCTGGCAGTAATTATCGGAAAATGGTGAAAATCAATAGGCTTCTTTGTCTCATGACCTTAAACACTGTGTATAAATTTGAAGTCAATCAGATATTAACTTTGACCTCTAGAGCGTCCACACGATTTTTTTGAAGTGATCAAGGGCCATAACTCTTGCAGTAATTATCAGAAATCGCTGAAAATCTATAGGCTTCTTCGTCTCATGACCTTAAACACTGTGTATAAATTAAAAGTCAATCGGATATTAACTTTAGCCTCTGGAGCTTGTGGATGCCGGACGACAATATACGACCACATTTCAATGTGGGCGTATAAAAAAGTAAGAAAATTGGTGCTCTTCGAAAGGTGTGGGACAACAAAACATTTCCATGTGAGCATATACATTTTTCCGTGGAAGTCAGGCCTTCATCTTATACTCCACATAGATGAAGAAAAAAAAAAAAATTACATCCCTAGAAAATAATTCTCAGTTCCCAACAGTCGAGGGACAATGACATCGTCTGGTAAATAATAGGTCTCATACGGTCAAGTCAAGCTTTTGCTATCGTCTAAAACTACTTACGGTATTCCAATACAAATACTTGTTGACATTTCTAAATATATAAAGCTTGTACAACTTTTATTTAAAAACATAATCCCCCATTCAAAATATAATCATAAAGGCCAGAAAAGTCCATCAAAATAGAAACGTTCGTCCAACAATCATTTTTCACGTTGGCATCTCTCGTATGAGAGTTCTACTTTAGTTTTCAGTTACAGTTCTATGGCTAAATTAACCAATCACACATATACAGGCACATTTTGTTCTATTTTTATTAACATCCATCGTAACATTAATAGTTATTTCAACGGTTGGGACCACATGCCTTTTCTGGTATTTATTGGATAAATGGAGAATCTCCTACTCATCTTTTTTGATATCAAAAAATATCAACACAAGTCGATAAAGTAACAAAAACGAGGCTCTGCCGATTTTTTTTTTTTCACTTTATCGACGAGAGTTGATATTTTTAGATATCAAAAAAGATGAGTAGGAGATTTTATTTATCACCCAATCCTTTCTTACATGCACAAATAAATAAATATAATTCTTTGCTGTAGATCTCACTTTTACTGAACCTGATTACATTATGGCCTAGTGATACATCATTTTTTGACAGCAATTCCACCATTGCAAAGTCCTTTATACTTTTAATAAGAAATGAACTGTTCTTTGAAAATAAAAAAAGTAGTTCCTTTTCAACTCTCCAATCAAATTCATGTAAAGCGATATCTCCTAAGGAGATATCGCAGTAGATTATGAAATAAATCACACAAGCGATATATTCTGCAGAATGTATTATTGGGTGATAAATTGAAATAAAAACAGGTTCAAATGAACCAAGAACAAATCTTTGAATATTACTGAAGTTTGTCCTATATTTATCAACTGATTATTTTACATATTTTGACGTACATCGGCAATGTATCTCAATAAAACATTGCTACAGTGGAGTTGAAAAACATTCGTCTTAGACACCGCTTCGACTTAAATATATATATGGAGGTTGGAAAAACGGTAAAATATGACCATTCGACTAATAATACTCCACATCAACTTATACCCCATAAAATATGATAAAAGAGAAACAAAAGTCAGCAAATTAATTTATACAAGCAATTTTCATGAAATTTGAACTCAACCGTAATTATGCTGTAACGATGATATATTTGAACCTTTTTTAAAAATCAAATAAAAATTATGACCTCTTGAGGGTGCATAAGCTAAAAACATGATTTTTTCGTACAATCAGTGGCCATAGTCCTGGAAGTTACAGTTCGATACATGCCAATATCGAAATGAATTGAGATCGTTGGGATATAAACCTATTTTTGAAAATCTGAGCAAAATTGTGACCCGTGGAGTGTCTACAAACTGTAGGCATATAACAATTGTGACCAATAGAGGGACCACAAGATAAAAACACGATATTTCGTACAATAAGGGGCCACAGACACACAAGTTAGCTTTAAAGAACACCGTACTGGTTGTTTTAGAACTTTTGATGTCTTCTCAGGTAATGTCTCCAATGCCCGAATTGACAACAGTTTGTGCATTGTTCTAAAAAACAAACATAAGACTTTTGCCCAAGAGCCCCCGACCCTCCTGTTACACCACCTCAGATATGAATCAACTTGAGCAAACTCAAACCTGAATATCAATTTCAAGTCTCTTTCCTCGATGAATTTGAAATGTAGTGTAGATCACTGCAACCTATGCCCAGCTTTTAGACACCATATAATATTTACTTACCTGTACCCACATGTCTCTTGATGTTCAAGTTCTTTTTAAGTTTTTCACAAGTGTCTATAAATTTATTTTCTATATCCCTTTGAATGGTTTCTAGTGGAAGATGAAAATACCCTAAAAAAAAAATGAGATAACAATAACAGAGAAAACTGTTAGAAATAAAACATCTGATTTTCTGGTACAGGATCTTGGGCTTAGCAATGAATCACATCTAGTTATTTGAAGAGTAGACTGAATTGACACTGTCTGGGCTTTATGGCTTCACTGTAAGGAATAAGAAATGAAATGGGGTTCAACATCGTACTTTTCTGCACGAACCAAGCTAATTAAGACACCATGCAGTGTGCTAGGAGAGAAATTTTGCCTTGCAGTAAAAAAAGTATGAAAATGTTTAAATTTCGCCCTATGAATAATAACCACCAGAGCAAATTTGGTTGGAGTTAAGTGGTTTTATATAAATTTTCTTTAAAGGCTCAATACCACTCTTGTTGTAACTGAATAATATGTCCCAATCTTTATTCTGGTCAACAAATTGTACTATTTTAGAATACTTCAATTAATTGATGATAAAAATTTCATCTTAACACACCTTATTTAAAAATTTTGAAAAATTCAACATAATGGTTTGAAACGTCTAACGTAAACCTTTTCAAATGAAACTTCGATTTAAAAATATACTATTCAAAAAAAGTAGGGGATATTTGATTTTTAAGTGTTATTAAAGTCACCTAATGAAACTGACGAAGAAACAAATGACAAAATGAAATGAAGTTCACATTCATCGATTTATTCCAAATGATCGTTAGACTAAGTAAGGCACAGACTGGCCATTATAAGGGTAAAATGATACCCGGGGTCAAACAGCAAAGTTACCACAGCATCACAACCAAGTCAGTAACGGGTAAATCCTCCTCTGTTTGCCAAACAAGCATTGATCCGACGTGGCATACTCCTAATGAGACGTCTAAGGTCATTTTGGTCCAGATTGTCCCATTCCTGTTGCAACGCAGCAGCAAGTTCTTGGACATTGGCAGGACGTTGTTGACGTTGACGTAACCTCTGTCCAAGCATGTCCCAGACATGCTCGATGGGGGAGAGGTCGGGACTCAGTGCTGGCCAAGGTAATGTGGTGATGTTCTGTTGTTGGAGGTAACCTGTAACGATCCTGGCCCTGTGACATCTTGCGTTATCATCCTGGAAGATGAAACGGCGGCCATGACGTCGTGCGAACGGCACAACATGGACTGCCAAGATGTTGTCCCGGTAGTACTGGCCTGTAACACGCCCTGCAACAACATGTGAAGCCGTTCTTCCAGCAACAGTGATGCCTCCCCACACCATAACAGAACCGCCCCCAAATCGATCATGTCTGATGACGTTAACGTATTGGAAGCGCTCGTTTCGACGACGCCACACCCTCCTACGTCTGTCCAAAAAATCAACAGTGAACCTTGACTCATCTGAAAACATCACATCGCTCCAGCGTCGATTATCCCAGTGTTGACGATCCCTACACCAACGACGTCTTGCCTGAATGTGATGATCTCTCAAACAAGGGATCACGCGAGGACGTCGGGCGCGAAGGTGACCCCTATGCAGTCGATTCCGAATCGTCTGGCCACTCACTCTCACACCAGTGTCTGTTTGAAGACGAGCGCTGATCTGATTTGCTGTGATAACACGATTTCTCAAGGCCAAGGTACGGATAAATCGATCCTGGGCTTGAGTTGTCGCCCTTGGTCGACCTGAGCGTGGTCTGTCCTGTACAGATTGTGTATCACGGTATCTGGACCATAGCCTGCTTATGACAGACTGAGAAACATTCATCGTCCGCGCCACAACCGCCTGTGTTGTGCCGATCTGTAGCATGCCAAGGGCACGTAACCTTTCATTTTGGGTAAGCCGACGCATATCAAAATTTGTTTTCTGGTCACTAAAACAATTAAACTGATGTTTCCACCCTGGAATTCAATGCCACAATGACTGTAACATTCAAAGTCAGAGTCGTGCAAATCTTGGGTTGGACCCCCATGATGATCCCAAGCATCACCTGCATTCCATGCGGTAGCTATTGGTGCGTTTGGGCGTCACATGTAACTGGAAATGTTTCTTCTGTTAGGTTCTATAGTGACTTTTTTCGTAGTCATTTGCATATTTTAGTATTATGCCCCCAAAATCAAATATCCCCTACTTTTTTTGAATAGTATATTTTCGAACCCTCTGGACAAGTAAAATAGGATGTAATGGATAATTTACACAACAGGTAGGACACTTAAACATCTAGTACTTAGATAGAGATATTATTTATTTTCTGGAGCTTTCAAGCCAGCAAGAGTGTTATTGTCCATTTAAAGGGACATTATGATTAACTGACAGTGATTTATACCGTTAATGATCAACACGTGCTATGAATATTGCACAGAAAGTCATACAACAAGAGCGTTGATAACGCTGCAATATACGTCCACATTCCTGCTTTGATTGATATGGTACTTTATAATATGAAGAGAATGAAATATGAAAAGTATACCAAGCTCTGCCCCTGGGGGTCAGGGCATTCACCAAAATCAATAGTTGACATCCTTAGGCTCTAAGGAATACATATGCCACGTACTAAGTTGATCTATTCCGAATTGCGGCCTGTAAACAACAAACACAAAAATTGGCCGTGGCTCTGCCCCTGGGGGCCGGGACATGCAGTTGTCGTATTTTGGCTATAAGGAATACATATCTCAAGTTCAAAGATGACCCATTAAGAATCGTGGCCTGTAGGCAACACACAGACACAAAGACAAAAATGGGTGTGCAGTCGGAAAATGACAAACAAATAAATACAAGAAATGTGCATAGCGCTGCCACTGGGGGTCGATCCTACACCAAAAACAATAGGGATCTTAGTGTATAAGGAATTTACATGTATATGAAAATTGTTCAAGACAATCGATTAAGAATTGTGGCCTGTAGGCAACACAGAGACACACAAAAAGAAAATGGACATGGCTCTGTCCCTGGGGGTTGGGCATGCACCACAAACAATAGGGATGTTCCTTAGGGTACAAAGAATAAGTATGCAAAGTTTCAAGATGATCATGTTAAGAAATGCGGCCTGTAGACGACAACCAAACAAATGCAAGAAATGGGCGTGGTTCTGCCCCAAGGGGTCGGGCATGCACCAAAAACAATAGGGATCATCCTTAGGGTATAAGGAAATTCATACGATAATTTTTCAAGACAACTGATTATCAAGATGATACGTTAAGAAATGCCGCCTGTAGACAACAAACAAATTAATACAAGAAATGGGCGTAGCTCTATCAACTGTTCTCTTTAAAGTATTTGAATATCTGTACAAAAATGGTTTAGTTCTGTTCAGATAATAATATACAGGATAAAATCAACACAATCCAGCGCCACCAATGAGTTCGTTAACAATCTTTTTAAGTGCCTCTATTACAGAATCCAAGCCAGGAGATTATCTACAGTTGATATAGTTTGATTTTCTTTTCTTATGCTAATTGTCTTTTAAACATGTTAAAACGAAGGAGAAGAGTAATCTGAATGTATGTTATTATATAATTACTTTATTACTTTTAATTAATTATTTAGTATTTTTAATGATTTGATCTTAGAGAAAAGTGTCTCGTAAGTCGATATGGACTTGACACTGCTATTATTTAAATATATTTTATGTAATGTATATATATATATTATATATTCTTGTATGCAGTGTGTGACACTATAATAAACAAATTAGTTACTTACTTATTAAATGTTAAATAATCAATTTGAGTGGATAAAATTTGATATTTTCCTAGACTTTAAATATATCCTATAAACATATTTTCCTACATAGGGTTTATAAATATTTCAGATACAACATATCTAATAAATTTGGTGGAAATTCATCATGGTAAATCCATCAATAAATTTAGGAAACGTTAAAAATGACAGAACAAAATCCACGAATGGTAGTGGAAAAGATGTGTAAAGATCAATTGCAGCTTACCCTGGAACAATAGGTCGCAGAACGCTTAAAATTGATAGGGTTCGCCCTCTCTTGACCTAAATTCTTCCCACTAAATTTGATGAAAAAAATCCATTCACACAGTTTTTGGCAAAGTGAGGGGTGGGGGGGAAGTAACTCTGGAATGAAAAAGTCGCAGAATTTTCAATATCGATAGGCTTCAAACTCTCATGACCACAATGCTTCTCACCAAATTTTACAAAAATTCATTAAATATTATATCCTCTAACACGTTTACAAGATTTTCAGCAAAGGGGGGATAACTCCGGAACGAAATGTCAAGCAACACTGAAAATCATTAGGGTTTATTTACTCATGACCCAAATGCTTCCCATCAAATTTTGCATAATTCAGGAAGTTACAATTCGATATGCGCAAATATTGACAGGAACCAAGATCTTTGGGTTATAAACAAACTTTTCAAGTTTCATCAAAATCAGATGAAAATTGTGACCTCTAGAGTGTCACAAGCTAAAAACATGATTTTTTCGTACATTCAGGGGCCATAATCCATGAAGTTAAAAAACGATACATGCCAATTTCGAAAGCAACCAAGATTTTATATTTCAAGTACTGTCAAAATCAGATAAAAATTGTGACCTGTAGAGCAGACGTCTGGACGGATGTATAAAAAGTACTATAAAATCTGTCTCACACCTATAAGGGCCTGATCATCTTTACTTGAACAAATCTCAGGGTTCCTGCGGCTTCGTCAAACATTTTTTCAAAGATATTCAAGGATAAATATATGTCAAATTCAAGGATTTTCAAGGACATTTTTTAGCCTAAAGTTACAATTTTTCATCTTAAAAATAACCAAAACATTACAACTATCGTTATAAAACTTCTAATCTAAACGGGATTTTCATATCAACTTACTATTATTACCAATTTGAAACAAAATTAAGGATCTCAACTGAAATTCAAGGATATTTTCCTATTTCCTCGAAATTCAAGGATATTCAAGACCTTGAAAATGAAATTTTAAATTTAAGGATATTCAAGGATTTTCAAGGACCGCGGGAACCCTGAAATCTGCATGAACACTGCATTAGCAACACATTTACTAAGCTTAGTTGAAATTCATCAAGCTGTTGGGGTGAACAAAAGAAGTTTAAAATTTGAATGTCTCAATTTCCAGATGGAGTCTTATCAATTTAATTGAAAAAGTCTGATTGATCACAAAGCGAAAAAGTTTTAATTTTTCCTGGGAGCCACAGTGGTTCAGTGAGTGTGACATTGGCTCACTAACCTGTAGTTCCCTTGTTCATTCCCTGCATTGGCCGTGATAGTTCATCAGGATTTTCTGACGTGGTTCCCCTGGTCAATGGTATAGGACTGTGGGCCTGGCAAGGGACAGCATATAGTCGTTCGGATGGGGAAAAATTTTCCTCATAGCACTGCAATGTGTACCCAGAAGAGCAGAATAGTAGGACATTAAACCCAATTTTATTTCATTCCATTCCATTTTATTTTCCCCTTTAAAGTTTCTAAGCTGTGCGCCTATGGAATCCAGAATGCGGTTCAAAAGAAAGTAATGAGGTAAATGTATTTTACCATTATCAGAGAGTTCATCAATATTGATGCCATTTCTCAGTTCTACAACATCTTCTTCTTCTATGGATATGGACTGATTACTGGAAGCTCTCTGTAAATACATTATTATACACCTTCATACAGGGACATAGATTGGGTGCCCTGTCTTGAAATATACCTCCATTTCAATGATATTGAAAAAGATAAAATATTGTGTGGAGGCTACAGATTACAGATTAAAATACTGTTTGATGGCGATTGACACCTTTTTAAATTTCATAAGAAAAATTTATATCAGTAAGCTACTTACTGGATGTGTTACAAATTTTACATTTTGCGTAAAAAGTAGGGGCTATAACTCTATAATGGAAGGTCTGATGCGTACCAAAATCAAACTCAAAGAACTATTGATCCTTAACACATATGTTAAGGTTCATCTGAACAAAATTTGTACATATTTCACATTTTGCGTAAAAGGCAGGGGCCATACCTCTAGAACGTAATGTGCAAGGCGCATCAAACATTATCGCCTCTGGAGTGTCGACAAACTTTGTGCATATTTCACATTTTGCGTAAATGGCAGTGGGCATAACTCGAGAATAGAAGAAGGTTTAATGTGCATCATTGAACTCAACCAAGATCTTCTATTAACATATATGTGAAGTTTCATCTAAATAGGACAAAATATTTTGAAGCTCAAAATATTTCGAGGCTAACTTGACCAGTACGGGATAGTGATGACGATTAATTTTCCTAGTATCGGTTCTGTGGAATAAATGGCTAGTTCATTCTTAGTACTAATACCCTTGTATGACATCTGAGGGGGCACCTTGTTCCTTAACAAATTGATCGAACTCCTCAATGGCTGATGGTTTGAGTCTTTGTTGTAGCCCACATTTTGCAAGAGATGGATAGAGAGCAAGTTCAAAAAAAGAGGGGCCATAATACAGGAAGTTATGGTCTTAAATGTGTGAATATCGAAATGGACTGAGATATTTGGGATATAAAGAAAAATTGTGACTTATAGTTCATAGAGAGTCCACAACCTAGGTATTACATACTTTTACACTATTTGCGTACTACAAGTAGTGGCCATTTTGGGTCCGATTTTAAAGGAATTCAAACGCAACTGTAATTAGGGTGTATCAGTGATATAAAATTTAAAATCGGATAAAAATTGTCACCTCTAGAGGGTCGACAAGCTAAAACGTGATTTTGCATACAATCAGGGGCCATAATCCAGGAAGTTATGGTTGATATGCTCAAATATTGAGGGGAACCAAGATCTTTGGGTTATAAACATACATTTCAAGTTTCACCAAAATCAGATGAAAATTGTGACCTCTAGAGTGTCACAAGCTAAAAATGTGATTTTTCGTACTATCAGGGGCGATATTCCATGAAGTTACGATCCGATACATGCCAATATCGAAAGGAAGCGAGATCTTTTGGAGATAAACCTATATTTCAAGCTTCGTCATAATCAAATAAGAATTGTGACTTGTTTTTTTAAATCAGATAAATATTGTGACCTCTATAGGAATCCCAAGCTAAAAACGTGATTTTTGGATATGTGTGAACATACCAAGATATTTGGATTACAAACACACATAAAGTTTCATCAAAATCAGATAAAAATTGTGACGTCTGAACAGGCAGTGGCGACAACAATATACCTCCACATGTGGGTGTATAAAAAAAATGATTTTTTGTATGCGCAAGTATCAAAAAGAATCCAGATCTCTGGGATATAAACGCTAATTTTAAAGATACATTATGGGAGATTAGATAAAGAGCTGGCAGTTCTCATTATAATAGTTAAAAACTAGATTATGTAAAGGGAATTTGCTGAAAATTTCAGTCAAATTGATCCACTCTGAACCGAGAATTTACCGATTGAATTTTCGGCCTAGCCTCGATCATCATTACTAAAGTTGGTACGATAAAAAACCTAGTATTGATTATCCATTTCATGATTTAATCATGAATGAAAGTTGAGCAGCAAATGGGATCTTAATCCAGTAAATATCGCAGGCTAGCGATGACATCGAGAGTTAATTATGGTCTGGAGAAGTTAATTAATGTCTAATTAATAATTTAGATAACATTTCAGGCCTAAAGAAAGACCTGTAATAGTAAAAGGCAGATTTAGCTCTTGTATAATGTATGTTTAAGTTTCATCAAAATCAGATAAAAATTGTGACCTCTAGATGGTCCCCTACCTTAGTATTACATAGTTTAACACTATTTGCGTATGGGGAGCAGCCATTTTGTGACCCAGTTTCAGTCTGATTTTCACAAAATTCTAAGTCAACTGTCATTACAGTGTAACAGTGGATAGAGAACAAGCTGAACAATGTTTGGCGTATAGACATTGTGACCTCACATAATCCATGAAGTGAGGGGTTAATGTGGGCTAATATCAAAAAGGAACCAAGATCTTTGAGATATAAACATACATTTTCAAGTTTCATCAAATTAAACACGAAATTTGAACTCAATCAACTCAATCGTAATTATAATGTAATGGTGATATATTTAAACATTTTTTTTTTTAGATGAATCAGGTGATAAAATGGTGACCTTTAGCGTGTCCACAAACAAAATGTGAACGGACAGAAAACAGAATGTGAACGCACGGACGCACAGACTGGCGGACGGACAGGGGCGATAACATAATACATTCACATAATCCATGATGTTATACTCCGGTACATGCCAATCTTGAACGGAACAAAGATCATTGGGATATAAACATATATTTTTATTTTCGTCAAAATTGGATAAAATGGTGACCTTTAGCGTGTCCACAAACAAAATGTGAACGGACAAAAAACAGAATGTGAACGCACGGACGCACCGACCGGCGGATTGACAGGGGCGACAACATAATACATTCACATGACAAATGGGCGTGTAAAAATGATACCTTTAAAGGAGACATTTCTGTTTCTGATAAATCTGGACGATTTATTAAGGAGGCCAGATTTTTTTGCAAAGTGTAAAGACAGTCACGTAATTGAGTATTTTCACACATTAATTCCTGATGTCTTTCTTCGTAGCATGCCATCATACCCTGATACATTTCTTCTTCTTGTCTATAAAGAATAGAACAATATAAATAGAAAATGAGAGGGAGAACTCCAACACTCCCTTAAAAGAGTAGCAGAAATTGGACCATGTCTTTTAAGCCAAATCATTATTAGGATGATTAAACAACCTAACATTTTCATCTAAGCCTGATTTTGTATTGCTGTTGAGTGATGATTTTTAAATATCTAACAATATAAATTCTTAAATCAAATTGAACATTAAAACTGAAGTGAATTAGGCTTTATGTAATATGAAAAATTAGATAATTTTCCAATAAACCTATGGTTTTAACAACTGCGCATGGGTCACCAAACAACATTAGAAATATAAAACATCAGAATACGAAAAATTTTGTGAGCAAATCAATCTAACTATAAGGTATTCGGCTGCGGGAGAATGGTTGTTCAGATTCCCACAAACCCACAGAAATTCAATTCCAAGTCAGCTTTTAAGCGATTGTCAGAAACACAAAAAAGCTCTAGCTTATTTTTAGCAGAGCCAATTTTATTGGGAGATTAGATGAACTTTTCTTCGCTCTACTAGAATTTGCCAACATGTCTCCCATTTAGAACAGTAACATAAAAAATAAAAACAGAAAACTTACTTGCCAGCACTTCTTGTATTCCATGTTCCTCTTTTACCATCAGCTCTTTGTAAAACATTGATCATATCTAATCCTGTAAATAATCACTTTAGAAAATAATGCTGTGCTCACATGCATCTACTATGATGCTTGAAAATAGGTCAACATAATAGTTTGGCAGCCACTTAAAGATGCATTATTTAAGAGAGAGAAATGGGGTTTAACGTCCACTCGACACAAACTAGGTCATTTCGGGACTAACATATGGTTCAATTTTATCTCAATAATTTGCTTGCATGTAGGGGTCTTTAGCAGTGGGAGAAAACTGAAGGACCCGGAGCAAACCAGCGAGGTTGGACAGATATTAGAGGTGATATTATCGTCTATGACTTTCTTCGACTTCACTTTGTGGGATCAATTATTTCAATCATCAATTAACTGACTCTGGAACACCGTTTATGTTGTTACTAAGTTTATATAATTAAACTACAAAGTTAAATCCAAAAAAAATACAGTTCATCTATTATAAAAACTTTAGGTGTTATTAAAAGTATTTATGGTCTGAGTTTAGCATTCTTTACAACTCAGACCTAACGGGTTAAATACTACATTGTCTCTATCCTAGCCTCTCAGACGAGGCGGCTGTTGGGTATGTTCCCCTTGAGCTCCGAATAATGTCTTCCCTACGGTCTCATCATGATATCTGAGGGTAAATCAAACCAGCTCTCTGCGATATAGCAATTATAATGCATCATCTATAAGGGTGGGAAAATTACCATTTTTTGGGTAAGTGCTTTGTAAAGGCACCGTTTTACGTCAACACTATTCTAGTTAATTGTACTAATCCGTGCACAAGATGACTGGACTATAGTACCCTACTTCCAGCAATGGATACTGACATAACTATCGGTGAGTTAGTCTAAGATAGGAGTAGAATAATGCAAGCTACTTCATTACCCTAGTTTTCATCACACATCATGTAGGCAAAGAATTTCTATATTAAATAGAACAACTTTCTTATAACGAAAATAAACCCTATAGTATTATAAGGTGACTCTACTCCTTGTCACGTACAACCGGAGAATCGAAACCACGCCAGTTGACTCAATGACAGACCTTGTGATACAACCCGTGCATAATACATCTTTAATACACATGTACATGCATTATATCAATTATACTAACACATGAAATTATTTATATGAAGTTTGCCTAATAATTTGGACATTTTTTATTTCAAGCAGGACAGCATGTAGAAGTAATATTTATATACCTATATTTCTATCTAGTGTTTTATCACTTAATAGTTGATGTATTCTGTCTTTTAATTTAGCCAAGTCTTGTTCATTTTTCTTTATCTCATGTTTATATTTAATGTCTCGACTTTTTAACACCAAATTCAACCTCTTCACCTGAAGGAAATAAATACATTTTCTAATTTAGGTAATACTAATAAGTTCTGGGCTATCAAATAATTTTAATATTAATCATATTCAGATTATAACTAATATTTTTGGCGACAGTTTAGACCAGCTCAATAATGCATAAAATTTCCACCATGCTATGTTGTATTGATCACTGTGTCTCATCCCAAGTGAGATAATTTTTAAACAATGTATTTTCCTTAATATCTTATTGAAAGATTAGCAAAGTAAGAAAAAGGCCCTTGTCTGATGAAAATACAGAGATATTTTTGAAACAAGTTCACAAATCAGCTCAGGCATTTGCCAAATCTTTCCTATGCGAAATTATTTGATACTACTCGAATCATAAAGCATACAAAGGTTCAGTAGTATATTTCAAAAAATCTTTTCATAAATTGTGTTGAAGGCATATGACTTTCTAAATGCATCCCTGCAAATTTCCCAACCTATACCGGTACTATAAACTAACCTCTTCTTTTTCAGTTTTTAACTTAGTGGACAAAAGTTTGTATTTAATTGTTATTTGTCTAAGTTTTTCAGTTCCCTCCAATAATTCTTTGTTAGCTTGCTCTAGATGCCGTTTGGATCTGGTAACTGCACCTTTCTGATGTTCTAGGTCTCCGCAAAGTCTGTGATGTCTAAATAAAAATAAAACACACCCTGAGAGTATCCTACATGTATACTACTAACCCTAAAATGCTGATATACTGCAAATACATGTTTGTGAATATATAATCCAAATAAGCTTATAGAAGGAATAACTGAATTTTCATTGAATTGGTCTGTACTACTATAACAAGTCATCATATGTAAATAGTAGTCTACTAATTTTCAACCAAATACCTTAAACAGAAATGTACCTTCTCTCTGGCTTTTCTAGCATGTTCAATCCTTTGAATAGGACAAACACACAAGGTCCTGGGTACATGTAAAAGACCCCTTGGTAGTTGAAACTCAATGACCAATCGCCGCCAGGCAGGATACGCCCACATTTTGCAAGAGATGGATAGAGAACACGCTAAAAACAAATGTGATTTTTTGTACAATCAGGGGCAATAATCCAGAAAGTTATGGCCTGAAATGTGCAAATATCAAAAGGGACAGAGATCTTTGGGATATAAAGATATGTTTTAAGTTTTATTAAAATCGGATAAAAATTGTGACCTCTAGAGGGTCCACATACTCCTCGCAGTATTACGTTTGATTAGAGCTAATCCCACTACTCACTGCTGTAAACAAAGCAAATTCTTGTTCTAAATTATGACTGGTCAATAGTCCAATTAACAACTAATAGCTTACTGCGTAACAATACCAAACAGAGCTCCAAATTGGACCAAATATGTTTACATAACGTTACGTCATGACTCACGATTTTATTATGCCCAATTAACCACTACCAGGGCATAGAAGAATATCAACTGTCAACACGATTTTTACTCTGTGGATATAATGTAAACAATATTGTTTTGAGACGAACAACACCTTCACCGTTTTTTAACACCTTAAATCACTGTCCAAAGTTTTAGGGAAGACCCCTGATTAAACGAAGGGCTGTCATGTTGCTGTGCTTTTGGATAGATTTGATTGAACGGACACACTCCCTCAAAAGCGCAAGTATCAGAAGCTTATCCAGCAATGGTCAGAGAGGGATTTCTCGGGCCATTGTTTCAGGAATATGGAAGGTCCCACAACCTTCATATTCAGGCAGTTAAGATTCAATATGCGCGAATATCGAAAGGAATAAATATCTTTGGGTTATAAACATATATTTCAAGTTTCATCGAAATCGGATCAAAATTTTGCCTTCTAGAGGGTCCACAACCTTGATTTACCAGATGTTTACACTATTTGCGTACGAGGGGCAGCCATTTTGTCCGGCAGTTTTGGCCCGATTTTCACGAAATTCGAACTTAACAAACATCATGGTGTAACAGTGATATATTCGAACGTTTTTTTTAAATCAAATATTAATTGTGACCTCTAGAGGAACCACAAGCTAAAAACGCGATTTTGCATACAATCACAGGCCATAATTCAGGAAGTTACAATCCGATATGCGCGAATGTTGAAAGGAAACGAGAACTTTGGCTAATAAACTTGCATTTCAAGTTTCATCAAAATCAGATCAAAATTGTGGCTTCTTTGATATGCACTATTTGCCTATGAGGGGCGGCCATTTTGTCCGGCAGTTACGGTGTAACAGTGATATATTCAACGTTTTTTTAAATCGGATAATAATTGTGACCTCTAGAGAGACCACAAGCTAAAAACGCGATTTTTTTGTACAATCAGGGGTCATAAGTCGGGAAGTTATGATTCGATATGTACGAAAATAGAAAGGAACCCTGATATTTAGATTATAAAAATGCATTTCAAGTTTCATTAAAATCAGATGAAAATTGTGACCTCCAGAGGGTCCATAACCCTGTTAAACAATATTGTGACACTATTTGCGAACGAGGGACGGCCATATTGTCCGTCAGTTCGGTCCAATTTTTACGAACTTCGAACTCAATCATCCTTGGGGTGTAACAGTGATATATTCAAACGTTTTTTTAAATCGGATAAAAATTGTGACCAATTTTTCGTACATTCAGGGGTCATAATTCAGGAAGTTATGGTCCGATATGCGCGGATATCGAAAACAACCTAGATTTGTGGGTTATAAACATACATTTCAAGTTTAAACCAAATCGGATAAAAATTGTGACCTCTAAAGTGTTCACAAGCTAAAAACGTGATTTTTCGTACAATCAAGGTCCATAATCCATGAGGTTTACAGTCCGATACATGCCAATATCGAAAGGAACCAAGATCTTAGGGTGATAAACCTATATTTCAAGTTTCATTGAAATCGGATAAAAATTGTGACCTGCAGAATGTTCACAAACAACTACGTCCGGACGGTCGGGGGCGCGACAATATACGTCCACATGAAAATGTGGGCATATAAAAAGTAGGGGGGAATGCCGATGTCTGTACAAAATTCTCCCATATAAAACCCTGCATGGCATATGCCTATCTTAGGTAGCCCGCTTTGTACAGAAAAGTAGGACGTTATACTATACACCATTTCATTTAATTGCTTGTGTGTGTTTTAGAGATTTGTTCAAATCAATTTGCTGAACCCCATATAAGCAGACATTTTCTCAGATAAATTACATACTGCTAACCTGACCCAACCCACCGATGGCGGGAAGTAGCCCAATTGCACTCAAGTTTGTTTACCTATTTTCAAGTTCTTCTCTGACATTTCTTTCTTTTTGGTATCTAGTTTGTATTTCGTGAAGAGCATTAATAAGTGCCACTGTATCTGTTTCACCACCACTATGAATGGGTAAAGGTGGGAAGCCTTGAACTTGTAATTCCTAAAACAAATTAGATGATGACAACGTCATTATATAAAGACATTAAAGAGCAACGATTTGTAGTTTCTAATATTTCTCAATTTTAATTAGTTTGTCTAAAATTCAAATAATGACTATTATTTTGAATATATTATATTATTAGAAATGAAATTCCATTTATTTACTTTGGCGTTGATTGTCTTTTTTAACCAAAATTTAACATATTACAATAAAAATCAAACTTCTGAAATAAAAGTTTCGAGACAATGTCTTTTCTTACAAAGAATTTGCTTCATTAGAATATAGTAACAGTCTTTACAACAACTAGTCCATACTGTTGTGAACCATCTTACTCGATTTACCAGTACATTGAATGTTAGTTTATTAAATATATTACCTGAGATAATATAGCTAGACACGTAGCAACATTGTCACCAGTACAAAATTTGGCACTAGAGGCATTTACACTTTGTAATAAGCTCCAATCAGCCATTCTGAAACTTAATAGATTAACTTTATCATTATTTTGGAAATCATAGTTGATCTGTAGTCTCTATGTAACACAATAATTTAGTATCTGATGAGATTTAAATGTTCTTACCTCTAGTTGGGTGAGACTTTACAAAAAAGGGGCTTATAATGTGCAAATCTGGCCTGAAATACAATATAAAGGTTGTGTTCATATAGTCGAATGCAGAATTGATATTTGTAATCGATGTGGTGTAGCCAGTAGAATTGCAATTCACATGACTTTGTAATAATATATAAAAAAAATTTGATATGTATCTATGGTAAGTGAATTCTGCTGTTTATATGTTTTCAAACTGAATTCCGCTGTTTATATGTCCGATTTTATATGTCCAATTTTTTTCAAAGTGAATTCCGGTGTTTTAAAGTAATTTATTATTAATATAAAATATTAATAAATACCATGGACCTTATAATACATAAGTTCCATGTAAATATGAAGGTCTTAATTCCAATATTTTGAAAGTGAATTCTGGTGTTTATATGTTTTCAATGTGAATTCCGGTGAATTTTGGTGTTTAAAAGTAATTTATTATTGAAATGAAATGGGGTTTAGCGTCCTACTGTTCTGCTCCTAAACTTGGCTAATGAAGATGGGCATATGCTATACACTTATATCCAATTCCAACTGCCAAGGGATCTTTTACATGCACACCACGTTCTACACATAACTGTTTTAAAGCATCTCAAATTTGACGAGTTACAAGATTTTCTCCACATGTCGAGTAATCTCCCTTTAATGATCAAAATATAGGATTTACAAATCATATTAAACATACATTATGCAAGAGCTAAATCTGCCTATTTCAGGTCTTTCTTTAGGCCTGAAATGTTATCTAAATTATTAATTAGACATTAATTAACCTATCCAGGCCATAATCAACTCTAGATGGCAGCGCTAGCCTGCGATCTTTAGTGGATTGTAAGTCAGTTTACTGCATAACTTTCCTTCTCGATTAAACGATTAAATGGATAATCAAGACTCTGCTGTTTATCGTACTGACTTTAGAAATGATGACCGAGGCTTATCAGAATTTCAGTCGCCTAGTTCTCGGTTCATAGTGGATCAATTTGAATGAAATTTTCACCAAATTGCCTTTACATTATCTAGTTTTTAACTATTATAGTGAGAACTGCCAACTCGTTACCGAATCTCCCATAATGTATCTTTAAATGTAAATATTGTCATTGTAAAAGGTGACAAATCACATACAATCACAACATAATAAAGTATCATAACATGAGAATACTCTAAATTGATTTCATTTATTTATTTCAAAACAAGTTACTATTTCGATCACCGAAAGTGACAATCAACACAATTTGCAATTATAAATAAATTATAAATATAGCTATAATATTGAATTGTTTATTGAACTATATATACTGTTTTAATAAACTATTAATAAATACATTACAACGAAAGTATACATAGTTTCTTGTCAACAAAAATCACATACATGAGTTATCTCTATATGAACCTCCGATTTGAGCACAAAGCAATGAGGCTTCTTAAACTCAACTAAATTGTTATTTTGTGTTTCCACAGTCAACAATTTTGGAGTTACCAAGTGTTGTTTTGGAGTTTTTGGGTAATTCAACACGCCCTAGGTTATCATAATCATGATGCATATATTTGAAATGAATACCACTATTAGTTGAGTGGACCAAATTTCGGAAAGTTCGGAACATGACCCCCTCCAAAATAATTATAAAAGATATATGTTACAGTACATGGACTTAAGCTAACAAATCCAAAATTATACCTCTCTAGGCCGAAAATTTGTTGAGATATGGCCATTTGAAATGAGGGTACTCAACCGGATCATAAATTTGGTAATTTTTTTCAGGTTTTCGGATGCTTTAAACTCACATTTCTAATAGGAGTAGAACTCTCTAACTTTGTAATGTAAGACAACTTTTGGTGTAAATTATGAATTTAGCATCACACACAATTTGCGATTCACACAGTTCGTGCCACCAGGTGGCAAAATGTGGAATAAATGAACTATTCACTTTTTTTTTCAGGAATTCCAGTCTCTGGCAAAGTCACTATTGCATACACAACCTCTGAAATTGGCATAGTTTATGTCAGTTTGTCTTTTATCAATTTACAAAAGATTCTGAGTCCCTGTAGCCAAAATGAGTCTATATTCTTATTTATTCTACATTATAAGTTGCTCTAAAATGACAAATATATGAGGGGCCTAAGTCTTTCAGAAGTAATTTTAATCTGATTATCAAAGCCCAATATTCTAATTTGTAAAGCAGAATAACCAATTTTTTCTCATTTGGGAGGCCAAATAAAAATTAGAACAATACAATGTACATCCAAAATGATTGCATATTCGTAATATACGCAAACATTTACTCTAAATAGACACGTTTGACGTAAATAGACGTAATTTTAAAATCAATGTGAAAAGTCAACAATTTTGATAACAGCCATTAAAACTTCATCACCGCACAGATTTCAAGTGCCAATTAAAAATATAAGCCATCAAATACACAAGATGGACTTTAATGTCTGTTATAGTAGGGTAATTGAAGTTTCATTATCAAACTTTTTCATAATTTAAACATCTGTCCCATACGGCCAAAATTGAAGGTGAAAATGGGTATATTTTGTACGTTTTCTGTGTGCTTTGAACTTCAAGACTGAATATTTGGGAAAGTATATATCTCATCAACTTAGAATCTTTTGTAAATTGATAAAAGACAAACTGAGCTTAACTATGCCAATTTTAAAATTTGTGTATACAATAGTGATTTTGCCAGAGGCTGTGGAAATCCTGAAAATAAAAGTTAATAGTTCATTTGTTTCATATTTTGATACCTGGTGGCACGAACAGTAGGCATTGGATAATGAGTGTTATGCTAAATTCATAATCTATACCAAAAGTTGTCTTAGATTACAAAGTTACAGAGTTCTACTCCTATTTGAAATATGAGTTAAAGCATCGAAAACCTGAAAAAAAATTACTGAATTTATGATTCGTTTCAGTACCCTAATTTCAAATGGCCAGATCTCAGCGAGTTTCCAACCTAGAGAGGTAAACTTTCGGATTTCCTAGTTTAAGGCCATATATTATAACCTATATTTTTAAAATTTTTTTGGAGGGGGTCATGTTCCCACCATTGGTCCAGTTGGTATGGAATGACCCTATACACCTACAGCGCCTTCTTCTGGCCTGTGGAGAGATCAAAATAGTTATTCGTTATATTATAATGTGTTATGCATTTAAAATAAGTTAGTTTTGGGGGAGGAATCAGGGGTTTTCGAAGTGAATTCTGGTGATTATACGTAAATTCCGGTGATTGTAAATGAATTTCGGTGATTATGCTGTATTCGTTACTCCTCAGTGTTATGGAAAATAGGCTAACGAATTGGTAAATAGCGTTCGTAACTACAAAAATTGCCTCGGAAGTCTGGATTTCTACTGGAGAACTGGGGTAGCTAAAACTATATCGAGTTTACGACATTTGACGTAACAAGATGGAAGCTAAAGTTACAAAGTTGAACGTTTTGAACAATAATTATACCATTTTTGTAATTATGTTTCTTGTGGATGTGCATATCGATCTGAATACGTAATTTATAGAATTTTATATTGGGATACATTTTCTGAACAATGACAAGAAACACATTAAACAGAAACTGAGAAAAATACCTGGCTTTCCATTTTGTACTAACTTCTTATTGTACTGTACAGCAGTTCAGGTTTTAGGACCGTACGGTCTATATCAACAAAAATGTTCCAGTAACTGTGGTTTAACGCCTACATGGCACAAACTAGGCCTTTTCTGGACTAACGTCCTACGTTTCTTTGAATTTAATATGTCTACATACCGTAACAATTAATAAGATTTCTCTTTTTTGCAGAGAGACAACTGAACTGTTAAATTAATGCATGATATTTTATTATTATCTTTTAAATACGCATGTTTTGTTTTGTATATCCATAAATTATGTAGGCCTACCGGTACCCTGTATGTGGGTTTTATACTGTCTCGTTATGTGAATTAATACTTTGTACGTTTTGCTTTGTATTTTCATGTATGCCGGTTTTATACTGTCTATTTATATGGGTGCTCTGATTTTATGCCCGTCCATATTTTTGTTCCCGTCCAAATTTCTGTACTTGTATTTAATACTTTGTATATTGTATGCAGTTCTCAAAGGACGTTCTGATGCAAAAATTCTTCTTCATACAACGGTACTAATACTACGTACTGTCGTGGTGTGATTGTCTCATCTTAAATCTCCAAACAATCAACTTTTTCATCAATAACTCATCATTCAGATCTTACTTTTGTTTCATTCTTGAAAATGCACGGTCTGCGTTCTTTTTTTTTATTTTTATTATTTTTTTTTTATGTTGTTGTATATGTAGGGCCTAGATATTTCCTTCAATGGGATTTAAAAGAGGCCCATCAAAAGATTGACCAATACTTAAGGGTTACACTGGCTTGTGTTTGCATCGGATTGGATGCCGAACGATGATAAATTTTCAATCTTTGTTAATACTGAACCGAACTGAAACATCTTTGGATTGATATTCCTTTAATAACGATTTAAATTTCACAAGAGCATGTTGACCCGAACACGACAAGTGTGTATTTACTATTTCCTAGTGGGAAACAACACATTTCCAAGCTGTAACGAATACAGCGTTGGGCCCTTTTGGGGCCGGTAATCACAGTGCATCATGATCAGTTAGTCGTTTATCAGGATACTCATAGCACGAGAATTGATTCAAGAATAATATTGTCTTTCAGTAGGCATATCAATAAAAATTGTATCTATATGGTTCACACCTACTTACAACCAACCACAATTTTTGAGGTTTAAATCTAAATCATATCGACGCTCTTTAGAACGCAACCCTGTCAACCAATACCATTGTGATGCATAGCGCCCTCTATCGTACAGGTATGTATGACATGGGACGATCAATTACTGTCACATATAACGATTCGATCCGATTGGTCCAGCCAGGGCCGGTTGTAGAAAATTATGCGGAGCCCAATTCGGGAGGACCGAAGTTACAGGATATGAATACGTTGCTGGACATGAACATTCATTTATATTAAGTCCAACTATAGGCCTATATTTTTACGTCATAATTTAGTAATTGATTAATATCTGAAAATACCCACACCACGAATAAAAATTAAGCCTTAAAATAATATATTTCTTATTTTTATGTATTGTATATAATATGAATGAAATAGTGATACGTACATGTGGTCACTGTATTGAGTTGTCTATGTAATAATATGCATAGAAATATATTTTAATTTATATATTTCTATGATAATTAAATGTATATGAGTAATATGACTATGTCTATGCATGCTGTCCTTAACCATTAATGGACGTTTTGATGCGATAAAAAAACATATTATCTTATCTTATCTCTTAAGACCCCCCCCCCCCGACACAAAACAATGTCAGTAAATATATGTAGATAAAGCAAAAAATAATAACTTCAATTTCATCTTTTTTTTATTTGAATATTACGTCCATATACAAAACATACACATACATCAATATACATGTATACAAAAATATATTTTACATGGAATACTATAATATATTGGCATAACATTATATAATGGAATGAAAATATATTATGGCCTGATGAGATATATACATGTACAATTGGGATGATACAATAAAAATGTAGCAATGAAAGTATAACAGTGAAATGAAAATATGACGTATAACCTTGTGCATACATGTAGAATGATCAAATGTGGAGTAAGAACAAGTAGCAGAAAATTAGACTAGACAGGTAGGCCTACTCCCCTTTCCTTAAAAACATGACATGTATACATTGCTACTGCTTAGCAAGAAAATCTGGCGGATTAAAAAGAAGCTCAAAAGTTAATTGACAAGTTTGTATTAAAGTTTCATCCTCGGTATCCCCAGTGTTTTCATTCCGTTCTACTCCACTATACGGCCTGGGTTAATGCATAGGGTTTCCACGATTTCAAATTATCTGCCCGGGCCTTGGTTGTAGATAAGGTCTACGAACCAATCAAGAAACAGTTTACAAACCAGTCGTTTCGCCTTCGATTTTATAAGGGTAATTAACCAAATTCATGTCCGATTTACTGAATGATTTATGTAAATAATGTATATATTTCTAATTCATTTGTATTTAATTGTATTCAGGCCTGTAGCCAGCGGGGGGCAATGCCTGAAAAAATGTTTTGCCCCCCCGCCCCGAAATTATTTTTGCCGCCCATAGCTCTTAAATACCTACTGTAGACTGTGCCGGGTGTGCGCCCCCCCCCCCCCAAAAAAAAAACAAAACAAACAAAACACAAAAACTTCACTGCCCCTCCGAAGCCAGCAAGCCTGATTGTATTTTCCAAATAATGTAGTATGTTTCGCTGATTTTAAATATGTTATGTATAACATCTATATGTTTGACTTTTGTTATTATTATTACTATTCGTTATTTATCTGAAATGTTTCATTCTGTTATGTTTCTTGTTAATGAAGTTATACTTGACAATTTAGTCCGGTCTTCATTAATTTCATATTATATAATTTGTTGTTAGTATAAGTACGCATTTAGAATAATTTGAACTTCTCTCATTTAGGCTAACTCCTAAATGTTTCCGATGAGAGTTACTTCCCTTTGCCAACTTCCTTTTCAATTAACGATGCATGGGATTGGTCGATAAAAATAGCACAATCATCAAGGGCGAATAATTTGAAAACGTGCCCCCACCCCCTAGATTAACCCAGGGGTTAGTGGAGTAGAACGGAATGAAACCACTAGGGATACCGAGGATGATATATTTTAAGCGCAAGTTTTTATATCTGAGTGGGACACTTTAATAGAAAATGGAATTCATCTTCTACGGTAGAGAGGGAAAATTGGGTGCATATCCTTTGGTCAGGTGGAATATTCTTGTATCGCCCGCCCTATCTCTATTTCCAGTTTGTGTGAGCTGAGCCGAAGCGATGAAAAGGCGGATTTACAGTTTTTATTTTTGACCTGCAGAAGGTAACCAGCGGGGTAGTTTATTAAGTTTTTATACAGACGTAGCGTTCTCAGTTTGATTCCTGATTTAGTTAGTTCTGCATAATGACGGTTGAATTTAGTTTGAAGTTTTAGTTTAGTTGCTGAAGGCGAGGGGTTATGAGGGAGATCAGAATATTCATATAATGGAATTTTTAATGTTATTGTTTGCAATGAGGTTGCTATCGGTAATGAAGGCAGAACGTAAAAGAACACTTTTAGGAAAACTGTCTACTAGAATTAGTAAAACGTTTATAATAGGAAATCATTCTTTGAAATATGTCAAGGTTAGCTGGGAAAATATCCAATTCTGCTAGACAGCTAATGTTGGATGCTTTTGATTGTTGTGCTAGTATTGATTTGCAGATCTTTATGGTTAGTTTATTATAATATAATAAATTTGGTCCCATTTACTAATTTCAAAAGTTTTTCTGTGTACCATACTAGATTCCCAGATATCGGATGCAAATAAAGCTATCTGCTTGACAGCTGATTGGTAAGAACATCGGTAGGAAGAAAATCGGTAGTACCAATTTTATTGCACAAACAAAACCATGCACGTCTAGCTTTACTATTAAGTTCGGTGATTGCAGACGTAGAGTTATTGGAAAGGCACCCCCACCCCTAGATAAACGTATATGATTTGACCGTTTCAAGATTAATATTGCCAAAACGAAATATGTTCTTTATATTTCTTTGATTATTTTTGATTATCATGATTTCTGATTTTGTTGGGTTAAGGTCATCTTCCAATCACCGCAAAATTTATTAAGTTGGTCAAGACTAGTTTGTAAGCCAATTTCAGTAGCGGAAAGCATTATAAGGTCATCGGCAAACAGCAGGTGGGAGACATTATTAGATTCTAGTGAGGGAGGATTTGTGTTTGCATTAATATAAAACTGTAAATCGTTAATATAGATATTTTAGTATCTAATAGTACAGGGGTTAACACACATCCCCGTTTCACACCCATGAAAGAGTTTATTGTATTGGAGATCACCTTGGGAGTTTTCACAGTATATGAAGTAGTTGAATACATGGGTGTAATTAAATAAAAAATTGGTCCGTTGATGTTACTTTTTAGTAATTTATAAAAGAGGCATGTTCTGCATACAGAGTCAAAGGCTTTTTTTAAAGTCCACAAAGGCCATGAACAAATTCTGTTTCTTTCACTTAAATTTGTTGATAATCGTTTTGAGTATGAAAATATTATCAACTGTCCGATGATTTTTACGGAACCCGCCCTGGGTGTGTCTGGTATAGTAAATTGTTGTCTTCAAGGTAATTTGTTATTTTATTATTGATAATAGACAGAAAACACTTGCTGAAGCAACTGGACAGAGAAATGCCACGATAGTTATTTAAATCACCCTTACTGCCCTTTTTGTGTAGTGGATAGCAACCCGTCGTTAAAATCATATTGAACAATTTTAGGAACTGATCAATCATAATTTCGGAGGAAGATATTAACATTTCATTGAGAATCAAATCAGGCTCATTCGACGTTTTTCTTTTGAGTTTTTTTTTATAGCTTTTCGAAGTTCATTTGCAGGTTGGTATTAATAGGCTCTTGTTTAAGTTGTTCAATTTTTTCGGATATTTCAGAGAGTTTGGACTGATCTTGTTAATGGTTATGTTATCACCCTCCTCTGGTGTGTCTTTAAGAAGGGAATTGACAAGTTTCCAATAGGCCTATTCACGCGGGGTATTGCTATCAAGATCATCAAGTTTTTCTAATATTGCATTTTTAGCCTGTCGCATTTTGTATTTAGTTGTTTTCTTATAAATAATCTTTCTCTTATAATATATTGACCGCAATTGTGAGTTGTGTTTGGATTATTATTTTATTGTTCTAGTGCCATTAGCATATCTCTTTTCAACCTATTCCAGTTTCTGTCAAACCATTTATTCTTTTTATTACATTTTTTTTTACGTTCACAAGTTTTACACTTTGTTTTGAGGCACTGATAAGTATATTTGTAAGTTCATTTGTAGCCTCCTGGGTGCCGATGGGGTTTGGATCAAAGTCTTTCATCAAGAAATTGTTGATAGTTCGTTTAGCACATGGCCTACGATTGGAATACATAATTAAACGTACATATGGATATTCGAGACTGTTTTCTATCGTATCGACTCCAGCAATGATGACCGCAGCTAGGCCAAAATCCAAAAGCTAGCACCTCGGCTCAGAGTGGAGCAACCTGACTGAAACCTTCAGCATACTCTGTTCACGTTATCTATTTCTCAACAGCGAGAACTGGCAATTCTTTATCTAATCTATCATAATGCCCCTTTAGTGTTCTTTCTGTTTCATGCTATATGTGTAACTTCTACATAACATACCGTAGGTGTATGGTATCACAAATAGTACATTTAACACCCCTTCTTCATAACACGATAAACTCAAACCCTAATAATAGGTAACCATTCTTATTTTATTACCTTGCCAGCCGATTTTTAGAATTTATATTCACCCTATTCTGGAAGCAGTTTTATATAAGCACGAAGTTGCTTGTTACCGTATCCAATCTATTCATATTATTCCCTTCATGGTTGTATATAATAATTCTAAATAAATGCTTTTTAAACCATAAATAGTACACAACATATAAATATTCCAAATAAATCTGTGAATAAGCACCTTTGATCAATTGATTTTAAGGCACTTCACGTATTGGTACATTCTACGATAGTCTAAAGCATTTGGTTATACTATTTATAGGGACAAAACGAGTAGCACTACAATTAAATTAGACACTTGTAACACTGTAATTAATTAAATTACACATATTTGGCACATTAATAAGTAGTTTATACAAGTCATAGATTTACTATGTAACATGTAATTATGTAATAATCACAAGTTGGTATTGTACGTCTAA